CTCCAGCTCTACTTCCTCCAACTCCAGCGCCTCTAGCGTGAGTGCCTCCAGCTCTAGCGCCTCCAGCGCCAGGGTGTCCAGCTCCAGCTCCTCCAGCTCCAGCGCCAGTGCCTCCAGCTCCAGGGTCTCCAGCTCCAGCGCCTCCAACACCACCAGCCCCGGCGGCTCCAGTACCTCTAGTACGAGCACCTCCAGGACTAGCAGCTCCAGCACCTCCGCTACCTCCAGCTCCAGCAGTAACTCCAACACCTCCAAGACTAATAGCTCCAGCACCTCCAACTCCAGTGCCTCCAGCGGCAGAGCCTTCAGCTCCTGCAGCTCCACTCCGAAGGCGTGTGCGCTGAGCAAACCACTCGCGCAGCTGCTGCGGTGAGAGAGGTTCCCGCCGGGGAGACAGTCGTGGCGACCCACAGGACCTCCAGCAGACGCATTACCCCTAGGCTCAGCACCCCCAGACTCCGCACCCTCAGACTCAGCACCCCCAGGCTCCACACCCTTAGGCTCAGTACCCCCAGGCTCCGCACCCCCAGGCTTCGCACCCCCAGGCTCAGCACCCCCAGACTCCACACCCTCAGACTCAGCACCCCTAGGCTCCGCACCCTCTTGCTCAGCACCCCCAGGCTCCGCACTCGCAGGCTCAGCACCCCCAGACGCAGCACCCCCAAACGCAGCACCTCTAGCTGCACCTGAGTCTACAGCGACCTCAACAGGCACAGTCCCGGGGAGCAGGACCCTGAGGGGGGAGGGAGTCTACCGGAGGGGGACCTGGAGCAAGGAAGAGCGGCGGGGGGGGGGGGAGAGGGGCAGTGCGGTATGGGAAGAGACGGTAAAAGGGAACCGACTCGTCAAACGTGACGTCCTGAGAGGGGAGGACACGGCGCGAGGTGGGGTTGCAAAACTGCCAGCCAGGCGCGTCAGGGGGAAAGCCAAGGAAGACGAAGGGAATAGCGCAGGAGGAGAGATTGTCCGCGGAAGTATCGTGGACAAAGGCACGAGAGCCTCAAACCCGGAACACCGACGCATCGCCAACCTTCCCCGTCCAACGCAGTGTAGGCAAGGTCTCCGGCAAAGAGACACGAGGCCAGAGGTTGAGCTGATGCGCAGCGTACCGGACCACAAACGGCCACAGAAAATGGGGAGCAGCCGCATGGATCATGGAGGTACGAGCCACCTCCATGACTAAGCCAATGCGGCGCTCAGCAACCCCATTTTGCTACGGGGAGGCCGGAAGCGTGAACGAATGGAGGATGCCCTCCCCACGACAAAAGTCCCGCAAGAGGTCGGAGGAGAACTCACCACCTCTGTCAGAGTGCAGACGCAGGACAGGAAGGTCCTCGCAAAACCGCTCGCGGAGCTGGAGACAGACTGCGCGGATCCAAGGGATCAAGACATCAGGGACCTCACCCTTGCTGCGCAAGGGGAAGACCTTGGTGTAGCATGTGTATTCATCAACAACCAGCAGAAAGTAGCGCTCGCGGTCCTGACCACTGACGCGGGCTGGGCCCCACACGTCCATGTGGATAGTCTGCAGGGGAGCAGTCGTCGGGGGAAACGAGGAGGAGCGAGGAGCAGCGCGCTACCGCCCCTCGATGCAAGGAAGGCAGGGCGGTGTAGGCGAGGGCGGGAGGGGAGGCAGAGACCTGGGAAGACCAGAAACAAGGAGGCGGGAGTGCATGCCACGAAGGCGTGGCAGGGAGGGGTGACCAAGTCGGTGGTGCCACAGGAGAGTCTGGTGCGACAGAAGGCGACAAGAGCAGGGGGCTGCTACCGGACTTGATGCAGACACCTGAGCAGACGCAGCTACCTGAGGAGGCTCGGTAGTCAGTGTGTACAGACTCGACCCAGGCCAACGGGTGAACTTGGCTAGGTGATGGCCCGTCCGTGTACACATGCAGATCGACACACGCTGACCCCCAGGAGTGGTGGTAGTGACCATCGCATCCTGGAGGGCAGCGGTACTCACCAAGTTTGTAGAGAACGAGGGGAGGTGAAGACCTGACAGTGAGCCGGACGGAACCGCCGGACACAGGAGAACAGTGGAGGAACGGGCAAGAACTAGGCCCCCTGAGGGGTCAGCCCGTCGGACCGGAAGAGGTGCAGGGAGTGGAGTGAGGGTGGTGCTGTCGCGAAAGAAACAGCGGGAAGCACATGAGTCAAGCGCAAAGGTGTGCAAGGCCTCAGCAGGCATAGTTCCAGGGAGACCAGACCCACTAGCACCTAGATCAGCAGCCTCTATACCTGGGTCGGGCGGCACACACAGGTAACAGTCACCCTCAGCACTAACAGACAAGGCATACATGGCAACAAGGATAGCATCATAGTCAAGAGCAAAGATATCAACTCTAGACCTAAGCAGCTCTGACCAGCGGGGGCGCTCATCCTCGTCACCAAACTCTGTGCGCCAAGCGTTGTCAAGGCGGGAGAAGCAGCGGTGCTGAGTGAACTTCCCGCATTTCTGACCAGCACGGTCACCCGTGCGAATGACATACGGGCAGCGAAGACTACCCCCGGACGCCCCAAGCTGAGCAAACCACTCACGAAGCTGCTGGGGCGTAGGGGTCTTGCTCTGACGCTGCTGCTGCTGCCTTTGGCCACCGCCAGAACCTCCCCTCTGAGCACCTCCACCCCGACCGCCACCACTGCCTCCGCCACCACTCCCACTGCCACCACCACCGCCACCCCCACCGCTGCCACCACCGCCGCCACCGAAGCCCCCACTCCCGCCACCACTCCCACCGCTGCCACCACCTCGACCACCTCCACCACCACCACCCTCGTTGCCACCGCCACCACCCCTGCCACCCTTGCCCTTGCTGCTGCGGCGCTTCCCACTAAGAGCAGAAGCAGCCCCGACATCCTCAGCACCAAGGATGTCAACAGAAGCAACAGAAGCATAGGAGGGGGCAAGGGGGGAGGGGGAACACCCCTCAAAGAAGGGTGTGCGAGGAGTGCCACGAGCAGCACCTACAGCGACTACGCTAGTCTCAGCTGCAAGGAGGTGCTTCTCGAGCAGGTCGACAGTGAGGTTTGTGGGGTCAAGTGCAAGAAAGCGGTCCCTTACTGCGCGAAGAGAGTGAGGGAGGTGAGTGACTATGAAGTAGAGAGTGATGTACATCGGGGGCGGGTTCCTGTCAAGGAACTCTGCTGGGAGGGCAGCACGGTAGCGAGCGTCGCTAGTGTGGAGGTGGGTAACGAGGTCCGCGACTGTGGCAAAGCCTGACAGATCGGGATACAGGTAGGGCAGTATAAGGCGGACCAGAGCAGCAGTGGCATGGGAAGAGTAACGAGCGACTACAGCGTCGTACAGGGCTTTAGCAGTCTTGTGCTGGCCAAACTGAGCGTGTTCGGCTAACGGCAGGTGGTTGCGAACGGCTAAGCTAGCAGTTGCGTCCCGGGTAAGCCACTTTGAGCGAGTCGCACTGTTAGTTGTGGCGGGAGGGGCGAGAGAGGCTCCAGACGTGTGGTCAAACAACGAAACGCTGTCTCCAGAATCGCTCAGTAGGTACAGCTGTAAGTCGTCGCGCCACGTATCGAACTCGATTGGACGGCCCTCATGATCGAAGGTGAGTACACTGAGAGAAGCCATAGCAGACAGAGCAGGGTGGCGCGCGGCTAGCAGGGTGGTCCGCAGGCAGGATGGCGCGCGAGCACTAGAGCACTAGAGGAGCGCGTAGGGAAGGGCAGGGCGGTGCGACTGCCAACTGGGCGGCGCACGGGCAGCAGGGCGGCACACATCAGGGCGGGCAGCAGCAGGGCGGCGCGGGTAGGAAGGCACCGGCCAGCAGGGCTGCGCGCAGCAGGGCGGGCAGCAGCTGGGTGGTGCAAGCAGCAGGGCGGCGCGCAGCAGGGCTGTGCGGGCAGCAGGGCGCCGGCCAGCAGGGCTGCACGCAGCAGGGCGGGCAGCAGCAGGGCGGCGCGCGGGTGCAAAGGGCGGCGCGCAGGCTGCAAGGGGTGGTGCGCGGGCTGCAAGGGGCGGCGAGCGGGTTGCAAAGGGCGGTGCGGCGGGCTGCAAAAGGGCGGCGCGGCGGGCTGCAAAAGGGCGGCACGCTGGCTGCAAAGGGCGGCTCGGCGGCCAGTAGGGCGGCGCGCGGGTAGGGCAGGGCGGGCAGCAGCAGGGCGGCGCGCGGGTTGCAAAGGGCGGCGCGCGGGCTGCAAAGGGTGATGCGGCGGGCTGCAAAGGGTGACGCAGCGGGCTGCAAAGGGCGACGCGCAGGCTGCTAAGGGCGGCACGGCGGCCAGCGCGACAGGCAGGGCATGGCGGGGCAGGGCAGCGCGACAGGCAGGCAGGGCGGGGCAAGGCAGCGCGACTCGTGGGGCAGCGCGACTCGTGGGGCAGTGCTCTGTGGTGGGCCCTAAAAAAGAAAAAAGTCCTAGAACAGGACCTGCTCTGAAACCCTGTCAGAATACTGAACGAGAATGAATGCATTGAGTAGAAAGTTGGGTACAAGTGCTAACCCTAATTGGGTTGTACCCCTTATGGGCTACCCCACTACAGCCTACACAAATGTAAGCACTACAACATTTTCACAGTTTATCCCATTTCTAAGGTGTTCTCACAGTTCACTGAAACTCAACCACAGCAGCCTATGTTGCGTTTGTGCTGTCACTCGGACTGTAGGTAGGACCCCTTCGTAATTGATCTCATGATTTCAACCCCTCCTGTAGGCCCCCTTCTCAAAGAAATTCTCACTTTACTTTACCCATCGAATTTTATCAAACACATTCTGACTAAAAGCCTCATGAACATGCCCTTACTGCACCATACCCACATACACAGCCAGCAGCGCCACATCATGTCCCCGGACGCACATGGCCATACTAACAATCTGCACATCACAATTTAGGGCTCCATTTGTCGAAGGGCCCAGTTATACAATTAGTGTACTGGTGTAACTCCAGATGACGCATCAAGCCTACTACTCGCGATTGTCCCCTGTTCCGCATGATGAGATGAGAATATGGGCCTCTGTTTCTAAACCTCCACGAAAGAACCGCATGGACTATCGGCTGATTCTCTGTGCTCCTAGCCTCATGCCAGTGGGTTTCTTCCCCCCACTGTCATCCCCGAGCATACTCTCTAAATCCATATTCGCCCCTGCTGGCAGCTTCACATGCCCACTTGCCGCACCACCACCTCCGCCTCGGCTCGCTGCCGAACCTCTGCCAACCGCTGAGCCGGACGCGCCAGCTCCAGCGCGGAGAGGCTTGGCAGAGCTGACAGGAGCAGGAGCAGCAATAGCGGCCCAGGGGTCTTCATCCTTACTGGTTGAGTGCGGGGCAGCAGAAGAGGCTGCTGCTGGCGCCGGTTTCCCTCTTGTCACACCCAGGGACCCACCTGCCTTGCCTGCTGCTGCCCCTCCACCTAATCTCACCCCTGCTGGCCGCACCGGTGCCGCTTTTTGAGGCGACGCAGTGGGGGCTGCTGCTGCAGGGGTAGCAGCAGGAGCAGCCGGCGCATGATGCACCACAGGCCGTTGCTGTGCTGCCTGCATGCGAGAGAGCGACGCTGCAGCAGCAGCAGCGGCAGCAGAAGCAGCGGCAGCACCCTTAGACGCAGAGCTCTCCTCCCCATCATCCAAATCACCCCACCCGTCCCCATCCTCCTCCTCCTCCTCCTCCTCTGCTTCGGGTTCAGCTGGGGAAGGTGCGGCTGGGGCAGGCTTGGAGAAGGTGTGAGAGGAGGGGGCGGTGGGTCTGGCAGGGGCTGGTCGGTGAACGGAGGGCTTTGGTTTCGGCTGCTGCTCTTCCTCCTCCTCCTCTTCCTCGATTTCTCCCCACCCATTGCCCTCAGGCTCTGATGCTGCTGTGGTGTGTGTGGTGGTGAAGTGAGGGAAGGGTATCAATCAGGGGGGGAAGGAAATGGAATCAAGTGGACTGTGAGATATCAGCTGGTTTCAGTTGTTTGTGGGAAACACGAAGGCGGATGGAATGATTTGTTCACTGGAAAAGAGGATGAAAGGAAGGTGAAAGAAATACGTGGTAACCTGGTAACAAGAGGCATGCTGCAAGCTCATGTTCAGGAAAGGCAACGCAACATACCAGCGGCAGCAGCAGGAGCAGCAGCAGAAGTGGCAGTGGTGGAATCTCCTGATGAAACAGCAGCAGCAGCCTCGGCAGCTGGTGCAGTGGGGCCTGCCTTGGGCCCTGCTGAGGTGAGTGAGCTGACCGCCCAGCTGAAGTCGAGGAGGCGCGGGGATGGGAGGGAGGGAAAGAGGGATTTAGAGGCAACAGGGGATGGGAGGGAGAAAGGAGGGGTTTAGAGGGATGATAGGAGATGAACAAGAATGGTGGGAGCGCCCTGGTGCCTGCTGAGGTGAGTGAGCTGACACAGCCCAGCTGATTTGGGGAGGATGGAGAGGGCGCGAGCATGAGGGAGGGAAGATACGAGGAGCAGGAGACAAGATGAGAGGAGAGGAGATTGAAAGGGAGAGGAACATGCGCACTTGAACAGCCGGCCAAAAGACATCTCAATCTCAACACATGCAGCAGAATTGTGAGCTCACCCCAACAGCCCCCCAGAAGAGCCGGAAGCAGCAGGAGCAGCAGCAGCAGTAGGTGTGGCTGCTCCCGGGGCTCGTTGTCCCACCGAGAGCCCTTCCAGCTGCCATTGGAGAGAAGAGGCCAGCAGCAGTGGCATCGGACAGGAGAGGGAAAAGTGGGAAGAGGGTAGGAAGTGAGATGGAAGCAGCAGGTGCAGCAGGTGCTGCTGCTCCCTGTCCCTGGGCTTGATGTTCCCCTTTGTGCCCTTCCAGCTGCCACGGGAAAGAAGAGGTTAGCAGTATCATGCAGAAGAGGGACCAGTGGGAACAGCATAAAAGAGGAGAGGAGAGTGCAAGGGGGGAAGGGTAGTGAAGAGTGCATGAGCGACAAATTCTTTGGAGTAAGAAAATAGAAACCACACATGGTTGAAAGGGGGAAACACAGTGACAAAGAAGGTGACAGCGCATGCGAATGTTGAGTTTACTTTTGAGAATTCTCAAAAGTAAACTCAAAATTGTCAAAAGTAAACTCAGAATTCTCAAAAGGCAAGGGGGAAACGCAGTGACAAAGAAGGTGACAGCGCATGGGAATAAAAGAGGAGAGAAGGAGGGTGTGTGGCGGGGAAGGGGTAGTTTGGCGTGGGGTGATCACCTTAGCATGGAAATCAGAAACGGACTGGAGGAATGAAAAGGCGGCCTGGACTGCCCTGGTGTGCACGTCACTGGCAAGGAGGGTTGAGAGGTGAGGGGGGGGGGGGGAGGTTGGGGTGAAATGATGACTTTGGAGGCGCCTCAGAAGGAATGAGAAGGCGGCCTGGACTGCCCTGGTGTGCACATCACTGGCGGGGGGGAGAGTGAAGGGGGGGGGTGGTGGAGGTGGGGTGAAATGATGGTCTTTTATTAGTAAAGGGGTGGAGAGCCAACGTGCACGTCATTCGCAGAAAAGTAGCTCTCCAAGAACCAGGACCCTACGGCCAGGTGGAGTGCAGGGAGATAAGCCAGACTCACATGTCGGCATCGATAGTGAGCACCACCAGAGCAGGCAGAATGACTTTTGAGTCGACTCATAAAATACACTCAAAATACTCATGACGCATTTACAGCGAGAAAAGCTTGCGAGGCGCCTCAAAGCTCATAAAGTGCACTCAAGTGTCGGCATCTACAGTGAGCACCACCAGGGCAGGCAGAATGACTTCTGAGTCGACTCATGAAGTACCCTTTGAGGCGCCTCAAACTAAAGTGGCTTTTGAGTGGACTAAAAAATCACCTCGCCTCAAGCCTCATAAAATGGACTCACGTGTCGGCATCCAATGTGAGCACCACCAGAGCAGGCAAAATGCGGGTGGCGATCTCAGTGGCGTCGTAGTACTCCCTTGTGGCTGACAGTGCCATGATGCCTGCATGGGGAATGTGGAGAGGGTGTGGGAGGGAACGCGGGGGCGATGCGATGGGGTTGTGGGGGCGACGATGTGAGCGGTGGCGATCTCAGTGGCGTCGTAGTACTCCCTTGTGGCTGACAGCGCCATGATGCCTGCATGGGGAATGTGGAGAGGGTGTGGGAGGGAACGTGGGGGCGATGCGATGGGGTTGTGGGGGCGACGATGTGAGCGGTGGCGATCTCTGTGGCGTTGTAATACTCCCTTGTGGCTGACAGCGCCATGATGCCTGCACAAGGGGATGTGAAGGGGGGGGTGAGAGGGAGGATGTGCGGGTGGTGGGGGGATCTGAGATTCTGGGGGCAGTGCGAGCACTGGTATGTTGAAAGCAAAAACATCAAGAACGGTACTTGCACCAGACTCACATTCACGCGTTTTTGCTAATGGTGTCTGCTGCACCCGCAGCCATGGCAAGGAGGGGTTCTATCTGCAGCCCTGGCAGGGGGAGGTCGTATCTGCAGCCCTGGCAGGGGGAGGTCGTATCTGCAGCCCTGGCAGGGGGAGGTCGTATCTGCAGCTCTGGCAGGGGGAGGTCGTACCTGCAGCTCTGGCAGGGGGAGGTCGTACCTGCAGCTCTGGCAGGGGGAGGTCGTACCTGCAGCCCTGGCAGGGGGGAAGGCGTCCCTTAGAGCGCGGACAGTGAAGGCATTGATGAGCACTCGCTTGCGCGTCTGTGGGCGCCACAGGGAGGAAAGTGAGAGTGTATGTCAGGGGGGTGGTGGGGTAGAGAAGAGCGGGATGTGTAAACATTTAGACACAATGCGGACAGTGAAGGCATTGATAAGCACTCGCTTGTACGTCTGTGGGCGCCACAGGGGTGGGGTGACAAAGTGGAAAATGAGGTGCGTGAGGGGAGGGAGGGAATGAGTAGAGGGAGGGAGTGGGGATGGGCACTTGGGTGTACGGGCCACACTTTGGAATTCTAGAGAGTGGGGGTTCACACTTTAGAGTCCAGTCTGACCTGAATGGGGTGCAACGTTTTGAGTCCGACTCAGAGCGTTGTCGAGGCGATGATTTAGGCGCCTAAAAAACGAGCTCAACGCACAGTGTCACTGAGGGGCCAAACGTTCTGGGTGCAACTCACGGCGTCATTGAGGTGTCTGGCGATGTTGCCGAGCAGAATGGTGGTGTTGGTGCGGATGGGTGTCTTTTTCTTTCTCTTAGGCGAGTTGCATGCAAACTAACACACAGCGTTACCGAGGGGCCAAACGTTCTGGGTGCAACTCACAGCGTCGTTGAGATGTCTGGCAATGTTGCCGAGCAGAATGGTGGTGTTGGTGCGGATGGCTGCCTCCTCGTCCACCTGGCACAAGGCCCATGAGTGGTCACAGTTGGGAGGAGGCATGGACGGAAGGTCAGATGGGCGAAGGGAAGCACAGACAGTTGGGAGAAAGGGAAGCAAGGTCAGACAGAAGGAAGGGATGCAGGGAAGAGATGGGATGATGCATGGTGAGGAAGACAGACAGATCGATACTAAACGGAAAAGCGACAGAGAATTTGTTCTTTGCAAGCGGTAGGAGGACGGGAGCAAAAGACGCCAAGGGCGGACCGGAGGAAAGAAAGGGAAGTGGTGGAAGACAGGAGGAACAGTTATAAGAAGCCGCAGATATTTAGAGAGATGGAACGGACCTGCAGCTTGGAGAGGTGCTTGAGCAGCGGCCCTCCGAGGGTGCGTTGCGAGAGCTGCGTGGGGGGGTGGGAGAGGGGGAAAGGGAGAGGGGAAGGGAGGTGAGGAAGAGCGGTACCTTGGGAGGGGAAGCCAAGATCAGCTTGGGTGGAGAGAGAAGCACCTTGGGGGCTATCTGTAGGAGTTAGACACACCTTGGGTGCAAGTGAGAGAGGTACCTTGGGCGCGAGCAGCAGCATGGACTTGAGTGTGAGCTCTCTGGGTAGCGCCGAGGAGTCAGTGAAGCCGGAGCTGAGGTGAGGTGTGGAAACACCTGCTCCTCCGCCACGCTAGAGGCTATCTGTAGGAGCTAGCTGGCCACACTTTGGGCGCGCATAGAGAAGCACATTGGACAGAAGAATACGCACCTTGGGGGCGAGTAGCAGCATGGACTTGAGTGTGAGCTCTCTCAGGAGAGCCGACGTGTCAGTGAATCCGGAGCTGAGGTGCGGAAACACCTGCTCCTCCGCCACGTTGGGGGCTATCTGCGCGCCGAATGAGTCCAGATTCTGCAGTAGCGATACCCGGATGGCTCGGTCTGATGAGCCAAAGAGCTTCACAAGAGTGGGGAGAACCTGAGGGCGGATGGGGGAAAGGATGAGGAGAAAAGTGTTTGAGTTGAAATTCACACGCCCAAGAAATTTACGCGCCAAAGAATTTCACGCGCCAAAGAAAGAACGAAAGAATAAAAAATACGATGAAAAATGCTCGGTTCATTGATTGTCAGCCGCCCTAGCTCAGTTGGTAGAGCGCAAGGCTCTTAACCTTGTGGTCGTGGGTTTGAGCCCCACGGGTGGCGCTTTTACTCTTGTGTTCGCGATTTTCCCGTTTTCTTCTTTGACTCTTGTGTGATAAGTGTGTGTAACGCGGATATGAACTGTGAACACCAACCACCTCTTCTTTCGTAACACTGGTGAAACTCTTTCGCCCGTCAGACCTCAAAACACCACCAGCTTACCCTTAGCATGAAGCCACCCGCCCAGCTTGAGCAGCACTCGAGGGCGGAGGCGAGCTGAGGGAGGATCTTGTTGAGCAGGATGGGGTGCGAGAGCTGGTCACACAGGGCTGGCGGCGGTGGTGGTGGTACTGCTGGTAGTGTGTTGCTGGTGGTGCATGCATGCACACACAACAAACATGTAACCTACTGGCACCGCACCGAGCACCCACCTACCTTGGCGTTGAAGTCCTCTTGGTTGAGCCACCCGCCCAGCTTCAGCAGCACTTTCAGTGCCGGCTCAGGAGCAGACCCGAACTCGAGGGAGGAGGCGAGCTGAGGGAGGATGTTGTTGAGCAGGATGGGGCGCGAGAGTTGGTCACACAGGGCTGGTGCTGGTGCTGCTGCTGTTGGTGGTGGTGGTGGTGTTGGTGTTGGTCGTAGTGTTGGTGGTGCTGGGTGCATGCACACACAGAAAACATAACCTACCAGTACCGCACCGAACACCCACCCACCTTAGCATTAAAGTCCTCTTGATTAAGCCACCCGCCCAGCTTCAACAGCACGGTCAGCGCAGGCGCGGGTGCAGACCCAAACTCGAGGGAGGAGGCGAGCTGAGGGAGGATCTTGTTGAGCAGGATGGGGCGCGAGAGCTGGTCACACAGGGCGGGGAGGCGGCGGAAGAATCCGTCCTTCTCCACGCTGTCCTTGAGGCTGAGTACCTCCATGAACTGCACCGTTTCCACTAGCTTGTTCTGAAAGAACTCTGAGGAAGCACGGGGCAAATACATACGCAGAACAGATATGGGAGTGGTGGGATTGTGGGATGGATGAGAGGAAGAATCCGTCCTTCTCCACGCCGTCCTTGAGACTCAGCACCTCCATGAACTGCACCGTTTCCACTAGCTTGTTCTGAAAGAACTCTGGAATAGAGTGTGTGGACAGAAGGAATAGAGGGCGAGGATGGTTGGCATAAAGGGGGGTGTACGCTGTCCTTGAGGCTCAGCACCTCCATGAACTGCACCATCTCCACTAGCATGTTCTGAAAGAACCCTGGAATGGAAAGTGTGGGGTGGGGAGTGTTGACACGGAGGGTGCGGAATCCTTGATGCTCGAGGCTCAGCACCTCCATGAACTGCACCGTCTCCACTAGCTTGTTCTGAAAGAACTCTGTGAGGTGTAGTGTGAGGGATGGGAGGGAGGGAGGGGTGGCGGGAAGGAGGGTGGGAGGTGAGCTGCCCTTGTGGCTTGACTCTTGAGGGTGAGCACCGTTATGAACTGCACCGTCTCCACCAGCTTGTTCTGGAAGAACTCTGTAATGGGGGGGGCAGAGAGGATAGCCGGGGAGGGATGGGGTGGGATAGAGAGTGGTACGAGGAGACAGGTGCGCTGTGCTCGAAGGGCGTTAATTTAATCCAGTTGTCAATTATTGCTCTCTGGGTAGATTCAACTGTCAAAGTAAAAGCAAGATTGAAGCATAAAATGAGTAAATCTATGCACACACCACTAACTTGCTCTCTGGCTGGATCCAACTGTCAAAATTGCACACTCACCACTATTGTCAATGAGCTTGGCAGGGTTGAGTCGCCTGGCAGGGGCAGAGCTGAGCAGACGCTGGTAGTCCGGGAGAAGGGTCTGTGTGTGGAGGAGGGGGAGGGTGGGGACAGGGGAGGTCGAAACAAGGGATGAAGGAAGGCAAATGGCCTGAAGACCTTCGCGGAGTCATGTCTGTAGATGGAATTCGGGGGGATGGAGGAGGGGTTGGGGGAGTTCGAGGCAAAACAGGCTGGTGGAAGGAAAGGGCCCAGGGTAATAGAGGCAAGCAAGCCAAGCAGATTCTGCATGGTGCATTGGTGCGTCACCTTGGGAATGCAAGCTGTGTTTCGGAGCTCTTCTGTGCGTGTCAGCTGGTGCCCGGAGAACACCTCCTGGATCAGACAGCCTGCACGCAAGAGAGGCGGGGAAGCGGAACAAGGGGGGGCGGAGGACAAGGAAGAAGACAGAGAGATAAAGCAGGACCAAAGAGTGAAATGAGCGAAAGCGGACACTGAAGAAAGGCGGGTGGAAAGGAGGAGGGAAGCTGACGGGGGGATGTGAGACACGCTTTTTGAGTCGACTCAAAAATCGCCTCATCACACAGGGATGTGAGACACGCTTAACGAGTGGAAAAACCAACAGGTGGGACGCATGGATCATTCATCAAGGCCCCAGGAGTCGATGGCGTAGGGAGGGCCCTTCCTGATGGCCGTCCTATTGTTATCGCTAGTGGAAAAGTGATGCCAGACAGACCATCTGTGGAAAAAACATCATCTGGGCAAACGCAAATCACTCACCAAGGCCCCAGGAGTCGATAGCGTAGGGAGGGCCCTTCCTGATGGCCGCCCAGTCGCTCTTGGCGAGCTCCATTGACTTGTACTGCGCGCCCACCATCCACTCATATGGCTGATGGCGTGTGTGGGGCATGGTGGATGGTGCAGTTGATGCACATGCAAAAGGCAACGCACATGCACATGCCGCACATACATGACAAGGAGACGGGAAGGAGGAAGAGGGGAAGAGGACGAAAGCAGGATAAGCGAGGCTAGGAGAAAGAGACGAGCATGCAAAAGCAAGGGGAAGGAGAGAAAGGAAAGAAGACCAAGGGCATGACTGTATACTGCCACGACCAAGTCCCAATGTCCCAATGTCCCAATGTCCCAATGTCCCAATGTCACTAACTAGTAATCACTACAAAATCCCCCCTCAGCAGCTATTGTTTTGCTCACCAGCATGGGTCCCTCAGGGGCGTCCGCCTTGCACCCATCGAACTCTGACAGAACATCAAAGCCGTGTAGCTTCCAACCCAGTGCAGCCGTAGACTGGTGGTTACAACTGGTTACCACTAACCAGCGTGACGCACACGTTGCCATGCACCTCTGACAGCCATAGTCCACTCCACTATCTCACCAGCATGGGCCCCTCAGGGGCGTCCGCCTTGCCCCCATCGAACTCTGACAGCACATCAAAGCCGTGCAGCTTCCAGTCCAGCGCACCGGTGGTTACCACCGACGCCATGCACACGTTGCCATGCACCTGCAAGATTGGAGGGTAGGTTGTGACAGGGGAGTGAAAACATGCACCAGTCTAGTGCACTGGTGGTTACCACCGATGCCATGCACACGTTGCCGTGTACCAGCAGGATTAGGGATACATAGAGATGGGAGGAGTGGCAGCAAAAACGTATTTGGGTAAACAGGCAAACGCGTGGCAAGGCGTCCCAACTTGATAAGGAAAGCACATTGCCATTCTCACATTGTTCTACACAACTTGTTTGCATGGCAGGGAGAGGATGGGTGAGGGGGAGGGGATGGATTGAGCATGAGTGATTGTAAGGGGGCATGAACACATGATGGGGCGAAGGGGCATGTCATGTGTGTCTGATGAACCCACCAGCTTGCAATCGTTGTTGAGAAAGCTGACAGCCTTGGCCACTTGCAGCAATCCCCATGCGTAGTACTCATCCCTGCACACCAGCACAGCAGTACCACGCACACAGCACAGCTCAGACTGGCGTCTGATCAGCGCGCACTCACAGAAAACACAGCAACGCCATACCTACCCCCTGCACCCGCTCCGCATACTGAGCTTGAGCTCTTTAAGCCGGAGGTCCAGTGGCATGACAGGCTCTGTGATGATGTATATGGTGGGCTTCTGCACAAAGCCCTCCGATTCCCCCTGTAACCTCATCCCGTCCACCCCATGTCTCCCATCCCCCAACCTCATCCCTCCCCCTCAAACACATCTCCCTTACCTCTGCGGCCCCTTGACTTTGGCTCTTTGAGTCGGAGGTCCAGTGGCATGACGGGCTCGGTGATGATGCAGATGGTCGGCTTCTGCACGCCGCCCTCACATTCCCTTCAAGCACCCCCCTTCCCACACACCCTTCTCACCTCTGCGGCCCCTTGAGTTTGAGCTCTTTGAGTCGGAGGTCCAGTGGCATGACAGGCTCGGTGATGATGTAAATGGTCGGCTTCTGCACGCCGCCCTCCTCCTTCTCCACCTCCAGGCTGTTCAGAAACGACAGCACGTTCGGGTGCCGCAGCTGCCGACGCGAGAATGTGGAGGAATGGAAGGCGCGGAAGTTCAGAGGGGGAGATGAAGGGGATAGTAATAGTAATGAGGGTTCGGAAACACTTCATCTCCAGGCTGTTCAGAAACGACAACACGTTCGGGTGCCGCAGCTGCCAACGCGAGGATGCGGAGGAAAGGTGCGGTGATGGGGGAAGGTGGAGGAATGGGGGGAAGGAGGGCAATGCGCAACGGGGAAAGGGGGGTGGAACGCGGGGGGCGAGAGGAAGTGTTGAGAGGTTTTTGAATCGCATCATAATTGCATCTACAAGGTTAAAACAGGTCAGCACCTTCGGTGCCGGAACGGGATGGGACGAAGACAGAGACTATAATGAAGTTGCTGGTTAATTTGCTTGACATTCCAACATTGTAGGTACATGAACGCTGATATCTCACTTCCACGCACCTTTTGATATCGCTGAACGCACCATTCTGAGTCGCTTGACGCAGTTTCGGGCAGGAGCAAGCCTGGCGTCTTGAGGATTCGAACCCGTTATGGAGAAAATCGATACCGCACTGCCATCCTCCTGATATTACACGCAGAGCACACGGATTCACGTACACGAACAATGAACAGCCATTCACAAACGTGTCACCGTATACGACATGGTATAAGATGGCGTGCAGTGACGGGTTTGACATTTTCCACCACGCGGAGTGTGCACAACGTGAGAGGGAGGAAATCGAACTATGATCAGCATTTGATACGATCTTCTCCTTAGTACACAGCTCCCACAGCCCTTCTCAGATTCTCACGCGCGTCACGATATCCCCACGATCAGCCACTGGTATTGTACCCAGCGACCGCTAGGCCAGCTCGGGAGTTCGCACCTCGCGGGTGCTTGTGAGAATGAAGGATAGTGATTCCAAGACAATCAGACTTCTCAGGCCCCTCAAGAACGACCCTAAGACAATCAGCAACTGCTAAAGCAGCAGGATCTCGCACCTTGCAGGTGCCTTTTTGGTGCGTCCAGGGGCCCCATGCCGACGGGTAAGCTTCGCCGATGTTATACGGAAACTCTTTCGCCCCTCCACCAGTTCCAAGGACCGATCGCAGGAACTGCATGGCCGCTGGCCTGACTATCGATGGCTACGTGAGGGCGATAACTGAGAGAGTCTCACGAATGACAATAACGAGTATGAAAACTTCGAACTTTCTCCTGCGCAGTCGCTGTCGGAACTGCGACACCCCGAGGTTCAAGTAGCATACACGCTATGGATTTCTTTAGCCGTCTAAACGAATATATTAACAATAACTTTCGGGTAGGCTTCCGGCGAGCAGTTGGTGAAGTTAGGCGCGAAATCTGGCGCGTGAGTGCGGTCTTCGTAACGCAGTTTCAGTTAGAGTGAAGAATGGCGTTGTGATTGGCCGGAATAAATGCTGTGTATGTTAAAACGGTGGGACGACGCGACTACAGCATCGCCTGACGATGTCTGCGAAATGGAGTCAGAAACGTGTGTCGTTTATAATAAACCGACCACTTTTTGTGGTACACTGTAGCAATCTATGTGGGTGTTGTGAGCACGCAGCACCGCAGCAGCCGCATGTGCGACAGAACCAACACTGCTCCTTGGAGTCGCCACTAACACATAAGTCTGCTTTGCTTATGACTCAACGAAGCCGCACATCAACGAAGTAGCGGAGTTAATATCTAATAAGCTACGAACACGAAGCACGAAAGACGCTGTTATGGGAGGACAGCAGGGACGTTGAACAGATTCGGGAAACTCCAGCCTGCACAACTTCGGACTAGCAACAGAAACAACGGCTATCAGTAATCGGATGAAGAAATCAAATGCACTCACGCGGAACATTGCGGTGCTGGAGGGAGGTGAGGTGCGAGTGGAGGAGACCGGGGGGGGGTTGCGGGGGAACATGAGCGAGCGCATGATCAGGGAAGAGGCGGAGGCAACCTTGAAGTTGCGGTAGCAAATTTGGCGGGAAATTCTGGGATTGTCGCGCAAGTTTCAGCCCACGACCTACCAACAGACTTGTCAGTTGCCGTTGGGCCAAGAGGACGAAACCGAAATGGGTACACTCACGATCGATACACCGTCACACGAAACCACCTTAATATGTACACTAGGTTCTGTAAAAACCAGCAACACAATTTCCAGTTACATAAATCGATTATGTAGCGAACGAACTAAGCCTTGCTTCTGCATCAGCAATTTCTTCCCTGTGCTTTTCCAATTCCTGAGCACAGAGGTTTGCCAACTGATCAGCGACCGGAGGGATGCCCGGGTTACGCGCCTCGTTATAAACATGTGCGTTTCGTTGAATCAGCTTCATGTCGCTCCAAAAGGCATCCCGCGACATGTACACTCCTTGCCGATTTTTCTTGGACATGGTCGAAAGATCCATGGGATGCTTGATGACTGTATGGTAGTCTGGAGCTTCCTTCTTTGTGACTGGCTTTTGGAAAATGTAGGAAATATCCGCATGGAGCCGCAGAAAGGCAAGCACGTTATCGAAGATGTTCCGAAGAGAATCTTTGGCCTGCAGGCAAACAAAGATGAGCAAAAAGGGAGTGAGCAAGACCACTAACAAAGAGCAGAGCAGCACACAATAAACAAACAAAGCCACTCATCGTCATATCCCATCTGCAAAAGAAGCAAAAAGAGTGAAACTGGTTTCAGCTAGGCCTCTCTGGAACACTCACCAGAACACCCCCTTCAGGCAGCTTCACACGCTTCAGAGCCGGCCCTCCTCCTCTCCCCCCCTCGCTCCGCCCGCCACCACCGTCCCAAGCACCAGAAGTAACACTGCGCTTCGCCCCCTCTCCCGCCACCCCCTTTGAGCGAGGTCCCTTAAGAGCTTGAGAACTGCGCCGTTTCCCTCCATGCGCCCCGCCGTGTCCCCTCTCCTCCTCCGGCCAGTCCCTGTCCCTCTCTTCTCTCACCTCTCTCTCCTCTCTGCCCTTCCCTCTTGGCTCTTCAATACCTACAGAGCAAGACCTTTCTCTTTCCTCCCTCCTCTCCCTCTCCTCCCTCCTCTCCCTCTCCTTCTTCCCTCTTGGCTCTTCAATACCTACAGAGCGAGACCTTTCTCTTTCCTCCCTCCTCTCCCTCTCCTCCCTCCTCTCCCTCTCCTTCCTCTCTTTCTCTCGCCTCCGCTCCCTCTCCTCTTTCCCCTCCCGCTCTTCCCTGACCTCCCTTGCCTCTTTCCGCTCCTTATCCTCCCTTCTCCTCCACTCATCTCTCTCCCCATGTGCATCTTCTTTTCTCCTCTTCTCCTCGCCCTTGTCCTTCTCGCGTCTCCACTCACGATCATGCTTCCTCTCCTGCTCCTTATCCTCCCAACCATCCCTATCCACCTCATTCTCTCCTCTCCGTCCCCCAGTATCCCTCTCCCTTTCCCTCACTCGTTCCCCTCCCCTCTCCCTTTCACTATCCTTAAGCTTAAGCTTCAGAATCCTTCCTTCTCCTTTCTCCTTCCCTATCTCCTTATCCCTCTCCCTTTCCCTTACTCCTTCCCAATCCCTCTCCTTGTGCCTTACTCTCTCCCTGTCCTTGTCTTCATACAGCCTGCTCTCTTTTACCCTATCCTTCCTCCTCTCCCTTTCCTCCCCTTTCCTCTCCTGCACCTTACCCTCCCTTTCCTCACTCCTCCCCCTTTCCCAACCCTCTTTCCCAACCCACCCTTCACCATGCCTGTCCTTTCCAGAAGCTTTACCGAGCCTGTCTACCGAGCCTGGTGATGCCGAGCCTCCTTGCTCTCTCTCCGAAGCAGCAAGCCTCCTGGCAGCAGGGTGAGGTTCGGCATAACTGCCAATCACTTCAGTACCCACCCTCAGACCTTCACTCGCCTGCCCCTTCTCTCTTTTCCCTTCCCTCTTCTTCTCCTTCTCCCTCTCATGCTCCGCTCCCCAGTCCCTGCTCTTCTCGCCCTTCCTCTCACTTCCCTGCCTTCTCTCCCATTCGTCAGTTCTCACACTCTCGTTCGCCTCTTCCATCTCCCCCTCCTCTTCAAAAGGATCTAACCCACCCCTTGCTGCCTTCTTGAATCGCTGCCGCATCTCAGCACCTCTCCTGCCCTGCTTCTCTTCCTCTGCCTCCTCCTGCTGCTGCTCCTGATGCACCCTCTCCTCCTGATCATTCGCAGTCCTCTCCCCACCAGCACTCCTTTCTCCTCGTCTCTGCTTCTTCGGCTTATGAAACCCCTCCTCCACGCTCTCCTCCTGCCACTCCCTTTCCCTATCCCCCTCGTTCCTCTTTTTCTGAAACTCCCCGCTTTTCTTCCCAACACTCCTCTCCTCCTCACCCTGTCTTCCGCTCTTCCCCCCACCCTCCTCATCCCCGCCTGCTCCTACTGTCCCTCCCTCCTCTTGTCCACCGTCCCCCTCCTGCTTCTCCAACCCTCTGTTCGCCCCACCCCTCTCTCTCCTCTTCCGCTTCCTCTTTTTCTCCTCCTTCCTCCCCCATCCCTCCAAATGCCCCTCCTCCTCCTCTCCCTCACCACCTACCTCCCCCTCCTCATCTCCTCCCTTATCCCCCTCTCCTTGCAACCCCTCACCCTTGACCTCGCCATGCATCCCTGCCAAATCCTCCTCCCCACGCCCTCTCCCCTTTCCTCCATGCGAATCCTCCCCATCCCCCACAATCCCTCGCGCCTCTGAACCACCTTTGCCTCCCAGTTTGATCTTCCCACAAGACAACTTCACCTTCAGAGAAACTTTCCTCCCCATTCCCCTTTTCTTCCCCTTCTCACTCCCCTCCCTCTCGCCCACACCTCCTCCCGTGATCCTCGCTATTGTGTTGTCCGCAAGCTGGAGCTGCATGGAAGCTTCGTGAGCAGAGGGGGAATCCCCTCCTGGGGACTCATGTCTTGCCTTGGAGCGAGGGCAGTGAGGTGAGGTCACACCATCCCCACTGCCATCCCCACTGGCGTCACCATGACCAGCACCCATCACATGACCATACCCATCACCACCATCACCACCATCACCATTGTCATCATCACCATTATCCACATCAACAGCATCATCTGCATTGTCAGCACGAAGAGCACCATAACCATCAGCATCAGCATCAGTGTCAGCACGGCCGGTAATAGCATCTACAACAGCAGGAACTTCATCATCCAATGCAGAGTGACAACTTTTCTTCCCCTTCTTCTTCTCCTCCTTCTCCTTCTTCCCCTTCTTCCCCTTCTTCTCCTTCCGCTCCTTTTTCTCCTTACCTTTCTTACCAACACCAGCACCATCACCACCACCAGTACCAGCAGCAGCACCAGCACCATAACTGGCTTGGCTAGGCTGTTTGGCTGTTAGATCAACATCGAATCCATCCTCCCCATCCTCAGCAGCAGCAGCACCACCCGCAGTAGCAGCAGCACCACCATCACCATCACCTGCACCCTCACCATCAGCACCAGCACCAGCAGAACCACCCTTCCCACCACCACCTCCCACCCCACTCCACCCACCAGCACCACTCACCCCTCCACCATTAGTCCCCTCAACTCCCCCCTTTCCCCCAGCCTTCCCCAGCAGCAGCTTCGACTTAATTTTAATCTTCGTCCCTTTCCTCTCTAACAACCCCTCTGCCAGCGCCCCATCCCTGTGAATCTGATTCCCCTCCTCATCCTCCATATAGAGCGGACACTTAGCGCGGTTAGTGCGCATGTGCCCCTCCTGCCCGCATGCCCCACACACCACTGACGCCCTCTGTCCCTTCTTTGGCCCACTGCCGTCCTTCTTCCCAGCAGCTTCCTTCTTGGTGGGAGTGGGGGTTCCCTTGGATGGGGTTCCCTTGGTGGGTGTTTCAGCCTTGGGCCCTGCCTGCCCTCCCCTTTTCCGCTTCTTTCCTGCCCCCTCGCCCTCACCCCCCTGCCACACGAAAACAACAGAGAGTTTATTGGAACGTCATGGACTTTAAAAGGAACCGAACGAGAGCAATGAGCAAACAGTGCATCGAGGATCGATTCGATCAAACAGGAGAGTAAAGGCGGCAACAGGAGAGTAAAGGCGGCAACAGGAGAGTAAAGGCGGCAACAGGAGAGTAAAGGCGGCAACAGGAGAGTAAAGGCGGCCACAGGAGAGTAAAGGCGGCAACAGGAGAGTAAAGGCGGCAACAGGAGAGTAAAGGCGGCAACAGGAGAGTAAAGGCGGCAACAGGAGAGTAAAGGCGGCAACAGGAGAGTAAAGGCGGCAACAGGAGAGTAAAGGCGGCAACAGGAGAGTAAAGGCGGCAACAGGAGAGTAAAGGCGGCAACAGGAGAGTAAAGGCGGCAACAGGAGAGTAAAGGCGGCAACAGGAGAGTAAAGGCGGCAACAGGAGAGTAAAGGCGGCAACAGGAGAGTAAAGGCGGCAACAGGAGAGTAAAGGCGGCAACAGGAGAGTAAAGGCGGCAACAGGAGAGTAAAGGCGGCAACAGGAGAGTAAAGGCGGCAACAGGAGAGTAAAGGCGGCAACAGGAGAGTAAAGGCGGCAACAGGAGCGTAAAGGCGGCAACAGGAGAGTAAAGGCGGCAACAGGAGAGTAAAGACGGCAACAGGAGAGTAAAGGCGGCAACAGGAGAGTAAAGGCGGCAACAGGAGCTTACCTTATCTGCGGCAGCCTTTTTCGAAGGTGTGGCAGGTGGTTGGGAGGGATGGCCTGGCACAGCAGCCTTGCTTGTTTCGTCTGCACCTGCTTGGTCCTTCTCTGCCCCTCCTCCTTCCTGCTGCTGCTGCTGCTGCTGCTGCTGCCCCTCCTGCTGCTCTGCCTGCTGCTCTGCGTGCTGTCCTCCCTGCCCCCCTACCGTGCCTCTCTGTGCTGCTAGGGCTGATCGCTTGGCCATCTCAGCTTCGATCTGGGAGGGGAAGAGAGCGAGGAGGGGAGGGAGGGGGGAGGGGAAGAGAGGGGGTTGGAAGGAAGAAATGACCTTTGAGTCGACTCAAAAGTTGCATCTCTGTGATGTCAAGGCTGAACGCTTCTCCATCTCACCCTAGACCTGCAGCACCTGACGCCTCATGCTGCACCTGAAGGCCCATGCTGCACCTGAAGGCCCATGCAGCACCGACCATGATGAATCACGACGCATGAGCCTTCCAGTTAACATTCTGCCATGCCTGCCATGCCTTCAGATGCACTCTGATGAGGCCCACTTTGATCTGCACTGTGCCTTGCTATCCAACTATCAGATGAAAGCTGATCGTGTTGCTGTGCCTAGCTACTGCCTGCCATGCACACACACCTGCTGCGGGTCTGTGATGATGAGATGACCTCTGTGATCACCACGGTGCCGTCGGGCTGTCAGTCAGTGTGGTGAACAGATGGTGATACACACACACGCACACTGCAGGGCGTCCCTGGTGCTGGCCTGGCCTGGTACACATGTACAGTATAGACAGCATCCACATACCAGCTCTGGGTCCGTGATGATGAGATGACCTCTGTGATCACCACCGTGCCGTCGGGCTGTCAGTCAGTGCCAGTGGTGAACAGATGGTGATACACACGCACACACACTGCAGGGCAGGCAGGCATCCCCGTTGCTGGTCTGGCACACATTTACAGTACGTACAGAATCCAGATACCTGCTACGGGTCCGTGATGATGATGACCTCTTTGAGCCCCACCACGCCATCCAGCTATCAGAGGTGAGGTGAACTGATTCTTACATACACACACGCATGTGCATAGGAACACCACATAGCAGCGCTGGATCCGTGATGATGATGACCTCTTTGAGCCCCACCACGCCATGCAGCTATCAGTGGTGAATGGATAATGTTACACAAGCACAATACACACACTGCCTGCCATTCACCACATTGCCTGCCTGCCATGTGCACACGCACCTGCCACGGGTCTGTGATGATGGCCTCTTTGACCACAAACGTGCCATCCAGCTACTTGTGGTGAACTGTTGCTGTTGCACACACATGCACATAATTGCATAGAAACACCACAGGATCCCCATACCTGCTGTGGGTCTGTGATGATGACCTCTTTGACCACAAACGTGCCGTCGGGCTATCTGTAATGAGGTGAGCTGACTTACAGACACTTGCACAGAAACACCACAGGATCCCCATAGCATACCTGCTGGGGGTCCGTGATGATGACCTCTTTGATCACAAACGTGCCGTCGGGCTGCCTGTGCTGTGAACTGATGCTGATGGTGACACATACGCACACTGCAGGCAGCGCGTCCCTGTTACATACGCACACATGTGCATACCTGCTGGGGGTCCGTGATGATGACCTCCTTGATCACAAATGTGCCGTCGGGCTGCCGCGTTTTGATCTTCTTCTTCAGCCGTTTCACCACCACCCGCTTCTTCCCCTCCACACCCACGCCTGCCCCTCCGCCCCCTTCCGTGCCTCCTGCAGTCCCTCCTGCTGCTGCTGCTGGCGTGAATTTCCCAGCCTCTTGGTCCTGAATGCACGAGAGGAGATGGACGTGGGAGTGGGGGGAGAGGGGAGGGGAGGATAGGGTAGTAGTGGGGAGGACAGTGGAGCAGCGGCGAGGAGAAAGGAGGTGAGGGGAGGAGAGGGGAGGAGGGAGAGGAGAGGGGAGGAGAGAGAGGAGGAGGAAGGGGACTGGGACTGAATATGAGGACCATAAACCGTTTCATATGCAAGGATGCAAGGAGGCAGGGAGGCAGGGAGGCAGGGAGGCAAGCCCAGGGAAAACTGAGAAAAGTGCAAAAGACGCACCATCATCCCTCCTGCCTCGCCATGCTTGGCAGGTGCAGTACCGCTCTTGTCAACACCATCCTCCTTCTTCTCCTTCTCCTTCTCCTTCTCCTTGCTCTTCTCCTTCTCCTTCTTCTTATCCTTCTTCTTCTTGATGTTCTCCTTGGGATCATCATCTGCATGCCACCATGCATGCACCCATGCACACACACACACACGCACACGTGGCCGCCCCAGCCCGCCCCACCCGCGCCCTTGCTCCCGCCCCCACCCTCCCCCACGCCCATGGCCATGCCCATGCTCATGCCCCCATCCCCGCCCTCGCCCGCGCCCATCCTCCCCACATCCCACCCTCCCCCTCCCCATGCACGCGCACACAAACACACACATAGACGGCGCACATGCCAATCCACGCACAAAGGCAGCGACAGCTCAATCTGAAAGCGCACAAAACGCGGAGCCAAGCCAGGGCACTCAAGATCCTCTCCTCAAGCAGCCCATGCTGCAGCGATTTATCCACAGACACCGTCCCTCACCCACAGCCACCACCCATCACTGCACACAGCCATTCCCAACCCACCTTCCAGCAGCATGCGCCTGAGCGCAGCAGCCTCTGCCTCCTCATCCTCAAGCTCCTCCTCTCGCTGCACCTCCCACGCCCTCCTCCTCCTCATCCCCCCAACGCCCCCTCCCCTTGCCCCACGCCCTTCTCTCTCCTCCTCCCCGCCCTCCTCAGCCTCCAGCAGATTCTCCAAGTCCCCCGCAAACGAGTCCAAGTCTCCCAACAGCTCCTCCTCTTCCTCCTCCTCCCCTTCCGCCAGAGCCGATAAGCTCCTGACCTGCTTCTCCCATACCTCCTGGCACTTGCTCCGCGTCTGCAGCTGCAGCTGCGAGAAAGACATGCGCTGCCCGCGCGCGAACTTATTCAACGCAGCAACGGAATCACCACTCTTCCCCGCAGCAGCGGCCGCTTGTTCCGAAGACAGCTTTCGAACCAAGGCAATCCTGTGCCAGCGCCCCATCTTCTGAATCTGCTCATCTGCCACTCCTAGCTTTAACAGCACCTCCCGAGCCGCCTCCATCCCGAGCCTGCGCAGGTCCGCGTCCGTGCCTGTCACCGCCGCCCCGCCCCGAGCCTGCGCCGCCCGTTTTTCAACCACCTTGATCTTCTCCGCCCCTGGCTGCTTGTGCTGAATCTTGAGAAAGGAAAACGCCAGGCCACGCCCAGATGGATCCCCCGCTCCGCTAATCTCAAGCTTCTCTAACCCTCCCTTCCCGTGGGTCATGCTCGATACATAGTTGTGGGATAGGTTCCAGGGGGTCAGCAGTAACTCCCTCTCTATAAGCAGACTCGCTGCCATCTTAATCGGGTTGTCCGGGAGGAGCTGGGCGATGGCTGTGCTGAGAGGCGGCGACGCGTTAGTGAGGTGGCGGATTCCGATTCGCCGAAGATGGTGCAGGCCTGCAAGCATGCTCTCATGGCAGCACACCAAGTCAGGGGTTACCATTCTACGTAGCTCCTCCTCAGAAGGAACCCGGAAGTTTCTCCGCATCACCCACCACATCTCCCCGCCCTCCAGCCGCTGCAGCTCCGCACATGTTTTAAGCCGCTTCTTTATAAGCCCCTCGGTGAGCGTGGGAAACTGCGCGGCAATATCATCCGCCCTGACCTTCGGCGCGTTCACCACCGCACGCCGGCCCCCCTTCTTCCCACCCTTCGCCTGCACCGCTCCCTTCCCACCGCCGCTCCCGCCGCCGTCCTTATCCTTGTCATAATCCCGAAACGTCCGACAAACTTCAACCATAAGGCGGTTGCTACTATGGAGTACAGCAGCCTTGGAAATGGGATTCATAACTTCCATATGCGGCTCCTGTTGCCCCACCACCTGCATGCCATCTATCCTCCTTATAGACAGCTTCCCTTTCGGCGATCGGACGAGCAGGTAGTCCGTATGCGGCACATGCTGCCGAAACACTGGGGCTCGAAACAGGTTCGTCTCGAGGCTGGACTGGCTCGTGCCGGGCCTGACGTCGCCCAGGAACGGGGACTCCTCGTCCACTTCGAGCGGCATCACCGAGCCGGAGAAAGGGACGTCCCGGATCGCAGCTGCGCCGGAATCGACGGACGAGATCTTGCGGTAGTAGGTGGCGAGCCGGGCGCCCATGCCCACGTTACTCAGTAGTAAAGGGCGCTCCTCACAGTACCTTGGGGGGGGAAAGGGGAGGGTGGAGGGTGGGGGGGAGAGGGAGGGAGAGAGGGGGGGGGGGGGGGAAGTGGGGGGAGGAGGGAAAGGGAAGGGGGAGGGTAGGTGGAGGGGGAAAAAAAGTGGGCGGAGGGGAAAGGAAGAGAAGGGCGGATGAAAAAGTGCTCAAGCAATGGAGCAGAAGGTGTAGCTTTCAGTACTTGGAAGAGAAGACGAAGGAACGGGGAAGGGATCGATGGAACGGGGAAGGGATCGAACGGAGGAGAATGCCTCAAGAGCTCAGTCCCACTCACCATTCACCCCTCCAAACACCCCCCAAATCCCCTAAAACCTCCCAAATCCTCCCCCAAAATCTACCCCAGTCCCCCCCCCCTCCCCACTCACTCCATGAGCACCACGTGGCAATCCTTCACCGACAAATCCGCCTTCTTCTGGAACGACGCAAACACTCGGCTCCACTCACACCTCTCCCAACAGCCTCCAAATCCCCCTAACCCCTCCCCACCCTCCACTCACTCCATGAGCACCACGTGGCCATCCTTCACAGAAAGATCCGCCTTCTTCCGGAAAGTCCCAGGAGGTCGCTTGGGCTTGCTGTCGCCGGGGAGCTTCAGGTGCGCCCGCCCCCAGGGGTGCAGGCACGGGCGCATCACGTGAATGATGGCGTTACCCCTCACTCCCTGCTCTCCCAGTGGCTTGTCTGCCGTCACTTCATGCCCGTTGGAGTAGAATCGCACCACCTCACTCTCCTTCATGTCTGCGCATAGGAAAGCGGGGAAGAAATAGGAGGAAACGGAGGGGAGAGAAAGCAGGGTTGGGGGAACGAAAAGGGCTGCTTCTGTATGCTTCAGGTGCGCTCGCCCCCAGGGGTGCAGGTGCGGGCGCACCACGTGAATGATGGCGTTGCCCCTCACTCCCTGCTCGCCCAATGGCTCTGCCCCTCACTCACTCCCTGCTCGCCCAATGGCTCTGCCCCTCACTCACTCCCTGCTCGCCCAATGGCTCTGCCACTCACTCCCTGCTCGCCCAATGGCTCTGCCCCTCACTCCCTGCTCGCCCAATGGCTCTGCCCCTCACTCCCTGCTCGCCCAATGGCTCTGCCCCTCACTCCCTGCTCGCCCAATGGCTCTGCCCCTCACTCCCTGCTCGCCCAATGGCTCTGCCACTCACTCCCTGCTCGCCCAATGGCTTGCCTCCTCCTGGTCGTTGGAGAAGAAGCATACCGGTTCACAGTCCTTCATGTCTGGGCTTAAGGGGAAAGCAGGAAAACAAGAAGATGTGGATTCAAACCGCAGCAAGCGGAGTGGTCTCCTCTGAATTCGTAACTAAGAGCTTGGGGTACTGAGAGTGGGAAAAAAGTAGAATCAGGACTTGGTAAGTCCAACTTCAGTAAAGAACGTAGGCGTACGCGTTTCGGCCGTGAGGCCTTCGCAGTCCTCCATGTCTGGGCTTAAGGGGAAAGCAGGAAAACAAGGAGAGAGGAAAAGAGGGGCGAGAAGCAGGGGTGTGGGCAGGGAAGGGGCTGCCTCTGTGTGCTCGCCTTGCCCAATCTTTGCAGCAAGGAGACGGGAAAAGACGTATTTCCCAGCTTCTTGGCAGCTTGGCTCGCAGCGCCCCCAGCATCCCCCCAGCGCCCACGAGTGGTCTCACAGCCTTGCTGCCCAGCGTCCCCACGGCCTTGCGTGCTGCCCTAGCACATGCCTCCAACTTCCACCCACCTACCAGCTTCAACGCACGCACCTCCCAGTTTCTTGGCTGTCTTGGCCCGGAGTGCACCCAACATCTCCCCAGCGCCCACATGCAGCTTCACAGCCTTGCTGCCCAGCGTCCTCACGATCACGTGCAGGCTGCCCTCCCACATACCTCCTAGTTTCTTGGCGGTCTTAGCTCGCAAAGCACCCAGCATCTCCCCCGCGCCCACATGCAGCTTCACAGCCTTGCTGCCCAGCGTCCTCACGATCACGCGCAGGCTGCCCTCCTGCCCCTCCACGCGCCCCTGTGCCCTCGCCGCCGCCTCGCTCTGATGCGCAAACCACAGCGCCTGGGGCCGGTGGAAGCGCGATAGGTCCTTGCTGGAAAGGGGGGAGATGGGGGCAAAGAGACAGGGCGATGGGGGGGAAGGGGGGAACGGATGGGGAGGGGGTCAAAGAAGTTGGGAAAGAGGAAAGGGGAGAGAATTCAAGGGTTTTCAAGTTTCCCTCTCCTCACGATCACGCGCAGGCTGCCCTCCTGCCCCTCCACGCGCCCCTGCGCCCTCGCTGCTGCCTCGCTTTGGCGCGCAAACCACAGCGCCTGTGGCCTGTGGAAGCGTGATAGGTCCTTGCTGTGAAGGGTGGTGGCGGGGGGGGGGGGGGGGGGGGAGAGTGGCGAGCGGTGATTCACTTCACAATTGTATTTCAATCATTCAGAGGCTGCCGCGTTTCATATACCTACCTCACTTGCTCAATCTCGGCTTCATCGTCTGAAGTGAAGCCGAATAGCCGGCAGCGAGTGATACACCTTCACACTCGTGCTCGCACGCTTCTTCCCATGCTCCTTCCCCGCGCCTCACTATCACAACCCTCAACCCCTCACTCACTTGCTCAGTCGTGGCTTCATCGTCTGCAGGCGAATAGCCGGCAGCGAGTGATACACCTTCACACTCGTGCTCGCACGCTTCTTCCCATGCGCCTTCCCTCCACCCGCCGCCCCGCCCACAGCCCCCACGCCCGCCTTGCTGCTCTGGTACAGGTGGTCGCGCGAGAAATCCACTGCCCACGCTGCAGCCTCTGCCAGGAACTCAGGAGGCAGCCACCCCGCTGCTGCGTCGCCTGGGAGCGGCAGGTGCGCGGATGGGAGCGTGGAGGAGAGGGAGGTTGGTGGAGGGACGCTGGAGCTCTTGGGCTCGGACGCACTTGCTCCTGCTGCTGCTTCTGCTGCTGCTGTGCTGGTGGCAGGGGTGGCAGCAGCGGCTGCTGGTCTTGGTGATAGTGCAGATGCTGTTTCGCCGATTGTTACAGGCGTTGATGTGGGGAGCGTCAGCATGTGCTGATGCTGATGTGGCACGACGCGCGGCTGAGCTGGCACAATCATAGCCAGCGCATGGTCAATCAAACGGATCGTCCCAGCACCACCTGCCACTTCCTCTCCACCTGCCTCCACCCTCACTGCAACCTCCTCCACGCCGCTCACACCTGCAACTACACCACCTGGTCCCGTACCTGCCGCAGAAACACCTACACCAGATGCACCTGCCTCAGTCACACCCGCCAGGGATACCCTCCCCAGCACAGAGCCCCGCACGCCAGAGCCTTCTCTCCCAGTGACTTCTCCCACCGGTCCCACCAGCTGGAAGGTCATGCGGCGATCGCTGAGGTCAAAGATTATGCGCGGGGGAGCAGGGCGAGATGGGAGAGAAGGGCGAGCAGGGAGAGCCAAGGAAACACTCGCGGTGGATGGTGCCAGTTTCGTTGGCTTGTGCACCTTTTTGCGCCTTGAAGCCCGTGGAAACACCTGGGAGAAGGTCAGCAGAACAGGAGCGTCTGGAGTGACACTCCCCTCTCTCCCTTCCCTCACGCCACCCTTCCTCTTCCCCTCCTTCTCCTCCTCACCCGCCTCCTTCCTCTCCTCGCCTTCGTCCTCCTCCTCATCTTCATCACCCCACAGCACCGCATCCAACCATGCGCCCGAGTCCAGCTCTGTGTTCCTAGGCACGGCTGCAGTCCGCAGCACCTCCCTCACTCGCCTCCTCACTGCCGCCTTGGCTGGATCCTCTTCTTCTTCCTCCTCCTCATCCTCCTCCTCTCCCTCTGCCTCGTGCTCATGCCCATGATCATCCACAGGCCTCTCATCAAGCTTACCAGCAGCACCATCGCCCCTACCATCACCTTCCGCATCACCACACACACCCACTGCCCCCTCCCCACCTTCACCACCACCCCTCTCTCCCTCTCCCCTCCCAACCCCACCACCCTTCTCTCCCACCTTCCTCCTTCCCCGAGCCTTGGCCCTAGCTTCGGCCCGACCCTGGCACTCGAGCCGGAGCAGCAGCGGGTGGATTTCCCGAGCCTCTCCGTCCTCCTCCCAACCTCGAAACGCCCTGGGCTTGGGCCAGGACGCACCTATGGGCTCCAGAACCACCCCATCATCATACACAAGCACATCCCCATACTGCCCCACCAGCTCTGCAGATGGCTGTTTTCGTGCCGCTATCAGCACACCACCCTGCTTCCCTTCACCCCTGCTGCTCGCTTTGTCCCTTTCTCCACCTTTGCCCTTTTCTCCAACTGTGCCCCCTTCCAGCCGTGTGCCCACTGCGTCTCCTGTGCCGCCATCCTCCCATTCTAGGTCCTCTTCCGATTCCTCCCCTCCTGAAAGATCAAGCCTCTCAATGGTCCCTTCCTCCTTGCCGCCTTGCTCTGCTCCAATACCACCCTCTCTCGTGCCATCCAACTTCACTTTATCCGTCTCCATGTGCCTTTCACTTCCCATCTTCCCCTCCACATCCCCGTTTTCCCTCTCACCACCTCCCTGCCTCCTCAAATTCCGCTCCTCCTCTTCCTCCTCATCCTCCTCTTCCTCTTCCTCTCCTCCCCTATCCTCATGCCCCGTCACCCCCACTCCAACTCTCTCCCGTCCCTCAAATTCACCCTCGCCCTCCCAGCTCTCGGCGCGTTCAGGGCTGCCCCACACGATCTGGTCCTCCCAGTCGCTCTGCATGAGAGCAGAGAAGACAGCACTGGGCGTGCTGTTAAACACCCCTGCAAACGACTCCATCAGCTCATCCCTTTCCTCCAAACGGCCCTGTTTTTGAAAGAATGACCCATCCAGAGACTGCCGAACCGCCCCCTTTGATGGCCTCTTCATCCTCGTTTTACGCGTCTTCTTTTTTAGCACCTTCTTTGCCGCCTTGAGCTTTGCTCTGTCCGCTCTCTTGCCCAATTTCGTGCCTACTGCCACAATTTCTCGACTTGCTTCTCTTCTCGCTCCTCCTCGTTCCTCCAGACTACCTCTCACCATCAAACCCTCAATCTCCCGCCCTCTTTCATCACTCTCTTTTCCTCCTTCGTTCAGACTACCCCCCCCCACCATCACCATCTCTCGCCCTGCTTCTCTTCCCTCTTCTCCTTCGTCTTCATGACCCGCCCCCTTCACTTTAACCACTCCCACTTCCCCTTCACCATCCTCCCCCTGTCCTACTTCTCCCTCTTGCATCCCTTCGCCTGCTCCTCTCTCTTGCCATTCCTTTCCTCCCTCCCCAACCACTCCCTTTCTCATCCCCTTCTCTTCGCCCCCCTCCTCTCCCTCGCCTCCCCTTCCCCCATCCCCTCCCTCCTCAACCAACCTTCCTTCTCTTCCCTTCCCTCCCACTCCTCCCCCCTCCTTCCCCCCTTCCTTCTCCCCTACCACTCCCTCCCCCTCTCCCAAGCTACCTCTGTCTCCTTCGACTGTGCCCCCCCCTTCACACACAGCAGCATCCCCACTTTTGCCATCCCCACTCCCCTTTCCGATCTCCTCTCCAATCGCCTCTCCACTTCCCTCTCCATTGCCCTCCCCACTGCCCTCCCTTGTCGTACAGGCATCAGCAGCACCGTCCTCACACTTGCTGATCTCTGCGCCCATCCCCACCTGTCTACCATCAACTGCAGCTTCATCCGTCCCATCCTCCTTACCCTCACCCTCTTCTCCCTTGCCGTCCTCTCCCTTTGCCTCCTCCTCCCCTTCCTTCTCATACCCATCAACACACTCCTGTGACTGCTGTGCCTCCTTCAACTCCCCAGACCCCCCCACCATTCCCTCCACCAAACCCCCCACCACTCCCCCCTGCACCTGATGTCCTTGTCCCTCCAGCATCATTCCTTCTCCTTCCCCTGCCTCTCCCATCCCCAACCTCTTCACTTCGCCTGCCTCCCCATCAACTCGTCCTGTTTCGTTCACCCCCTTCTCTCCCTCCCATTCAGGAAGGACCCCCATCTCACACTGGTCTTCCGCCCCTGCCACGTTACCTTGCTTCTCTCGCCTCCCCCTCTCCATCGCACCACTGACATCGCCCCCTCCCATCCCCTGTCTCTCACTCGCATTCACAAGCTCCTTCTTTCGCCCCCCCTCATTGTCCTCTACCTTTTCTTTGCCCCCTTCCTCGTTCTCTCCTTCCACTTCCATCCTCTCAACTTTTTCCACTTCCTCTTTCTCTTCCTCCTCTTTCACCTCCTCTCTTCCCCCATCCTCTTTCCCCATTTCCTCGACCTTCCTCTCCTCCAACTTTCCCCCGACTTCCTTCCCCTCCTCTCCACCCTCGTTCCCTTCCCCAGGCTGTGCGTCCACCTCCATCTCTTCACCATCCTCCCCTTCGTCATCCTTCTCCCCCTTCTCCTTCTCCTCTCCCTTCTCCTCCTCCCCTTCCCCCTTCTCCCTTTTCTCTTTCTCCTCTCCCTTTTCCTCGTTCTCCTCCCCTTTCTCCTTCTCATCCTTCTCCTCTCCCTCCTCCTCGTTCTCCTCCCCTTTCTCCTTCTCATCCTTCTCCTCTCCCTTCTCCTCGTTCTTCTCCCCGTTCTCCACCTTATCCTTCTGCTCTCCCTTCTCTTCCCCTTTCCCGCCCATCTCTTCCACTACTTCACCCATTCTTCCTTCCTCCACTCGCTCCTTCACTCCCTCCCCCGCTTCCTCCTCCACTCCCTCAGCTTTAATACCATCCCCTTTATCATCATCTCTTCCACTACCAACCTGTATCGTCTCATCCTTTCTACCTTTATCCTCCCTATTATCATCATCTAAATTGCCATCCCATATACTCCCATTCCTTGCCGCAACCATCTCCTCCTGCTCCCCACCCCCTTCCACTCCAAACTTCATCCCACCATTCCCCTCCCCATTTTCGCCTCCCACCGTGATTTTCTCACCCCCCTCCTCTCCTCTCCCCTCATCCTCTCCTCTGTTCTCGTTCTCTCGTGCTCCTTCACTTTGCTTTTGCCCCTCTGCTCCACCCACTTCTTCCTTCTCCCCCAAACCCTCTCCACAAGCATCAGAATCACCACCAGCATCAGACCCATCGCCCCCTCCTCCTCCCACACCCTCATCCACCTCGTGCACTTTATTCTCGCCGCTATCACCAACAAACCCGTCCCCCTCTCCTTTCCCTCCTTCCTCTCCGTTCTCTCCTTTCTCGCCTTCCTCCCTTGCCTCACCTGTCTCCTCACCACTCTCCTCAGTAACCATTCGCCCTGCACCCTCCTCATCTGACTTCCCTGTAACCACTTCCTCCCCACGAGATTGACTACCACCTTTCTTCTCTTCCCCATTCTCACATAGCACAGCCTTCCCCCACCCATCCCCATCCCCAGGCGAATGACGATCCACATGCCCATCACCATGCCCATCACCATGCCCATTTAGACGCCCATCGCCACTCCCCCGACTGTCACTGTCATTATCACCCTCGCCTGCCCCTGCCACCTTCTCTGCTCCTTTGCTCTCTTCAATCCCGCCCTCTGCGCCGCCCACTTTGCCGCCCGGTTCACCGTCCCTTTCACCATCATTGCCAGCCTCGGCACCACCCGCCATGCTTTCTTCTTTATCTGACTGTTTTCGAGGCATCTCAGAAACAGCAGATCTTTCCTTCGTTTCTGAAGGCACCTGAACGCCTTTTTCCTCCTCTTCTCCAATTCTCCTCCTCTCCTCACTCTCTTTCCCCCTCACCTCCTCACTCGGCTGTTTCCCTCTCTTCTCCTCCTCACTCTCTCCCCTTATGCTCTTCTCAGCTCCTCCCGTCTTCCGAACCTCACATTCCCTCACAGACCCCGCGTCACATACTGCAACTAGTGACTCCGCTGGTGCACCATGCAACCCCTCCACCGCACCATCTAGCCCCTCCGCAACTTGTGACCCCTCTCCTTTCCTCCCTACCACGCCCTCCTCTCCTTCACTCCGTCCCACCCCCTCAGGCCCCTCTTGAAGCGCCCCCAAAACAGCTTCCTCTGCAGCACCACGCAACCCCTGGCACTCCGGCCCTAGCCCCGCACCTTCCCTCTGCTCCACCCCTACCCCTTCAGATTGTTCCATGCATGCAGTCTCTCCCCCATCGCCCCCACCAATACTCCTTCCAGCCCCTTCAACATCCTCTCCTGATTTCTCAACCTCCATGTTGCCAGTGTCAGCCCCTCTCTCCTTGTCCTCTCCAGCCCTTATAGGGCTTTGTGAAGTCTCAAAACTTGACATATCAATCTCCATCTTGCCGGTTTCAACTTTCTCCGTGCCCTCTCCAACCCCCATATCCTGCTCTCCAGCCCCCACCCCCTCCCCCACCCTTGTGTCACCCTGACCGGTCCCCACCTCCCCTGTGTCACCCTGACCAGTCCCCACCTCCCCTCTGTCACCCTGACCGGTCCCCACCTCCCCCGTGTCGCCCTGCCCCACCTCCCCTCGGTCCACTTCCATTGCCTGCATTTCAGTATCCTCACTAACCAACTGCTCCACTCCACCTTCTGCCTCCCCTGCTGCATTCCCCTCTGCCTCTCTCCCTGCCTTCCCTGCTGCATCCCCCTCTGCCTCTCCCTCTGCCTCCCCTCCCATTTTCACTGCTGCACTTAAACCTCCTGCCTTTGACCCTCCTGCCCCCTCTCCTTCCCCTGTTTTCGCCTTCTCTTCCTCCCTCCCACCTCCTCTCTCCTCCTCACCCTCGACCCGCTCATCCTTCATCACATCCACCATACCTGCACTCCTCCCCTCACTCCCTCCCTCACTCTTTCCCTCACTCACTCCCTCGTTCCTAGTTTCTCTCTCTGAGCCGCCACCCTCTAGCCCTCTATGCTCGCCCTCCACAGTGCTTGAAGGTGTCTCAAGAGTGGTCCGAGGCACCTCTACCCTATCCCTATTCTCCTCAACCCTTTCCTTATCCCAACTATCCTCCTCTCCACCATTCCTCTTTTCCTCAACCCTTGCCATATCCCCTTCCATTGCCACCTCAGCATCACCTGTCACACCTTCCTCCTTCAGCCCTTGATCCTTCTCATCAGGTCCTGCCTTCTCCATATTCCCATCTTTCTCTCCCTTCTCCATATTCCCATCTTTCTCTCCCTTCTCCATATTCCCATCTTTCTCTCCCTTCTCCATACTCCCATCTTTCTCTCCCTTCTCCACATCTTCATTTTCCTCACTCCCCTTGTCCGCACTCCCATCTTTCTCCCCCTCATCACTTTCCGCTTGTCCCTGCTCCTGACCGTCCCCTTCATCCTCCTCTCCAGCACTCCTCTTCTCCTCAATCCTTGCCCTCTCCTCTTCCACTGCTCCCTCACTCTCGCCCTCACTTCCCTCTATCATCAACCCGTGTTCCTTCTCCATTTCATCAATTCCCTCCTTGTTCCATTCTCGCCCCTCCTCTATCCTAGCTCTTTCAGTTATGGTCCCATTCTCCTCTTCCTCCAACCGCTCCTCCTTCTCCTCGTCCCTTGCTGCTGGTTTCCCCTCTTCTTTCATCTGACCTTCAATCACCTCTCTCTCCCTGAATTTCACTCCATCTTTTTCCTCCTTGTCCTCCGCGTCCTCTTCCTCTTCTTCTTCCTCTTCTTCTAGCTCTTCTTCTTCCTCTGTTTCTTCCTCTTCCTCGTCGTCGTCGTCCTCCTCCTCTTCTTCCTCCTCTTCCTCTTCCTCCTCTTCCTCTTCCTCCTCTTCCTCCTCTTCCCTCTCCAGCATCTCTTGATATTGTAGCTCTTTCTCAAGAGCAATAGCTCGCTCTCGCATCATCTCAGCCGTTCGTTTAGGCGATGATGCAGATCGAAGAAGCACTTCGTCGTCCTCTTGCCCTGGATCTGAGAGAAACATATCCACACACACGTTTCCCATGCACACACATGCAACATTCACGCAAAAGCACACACAACACAAGGCTAAAAAAATTATCAAAGACGATAAAAGGGGTAAAATCTTGCACAGATCATGGCTTATTGCAGCACATCAATTAATAGTTTATAGCTTCAACTCAAAGCTCTATTGTCGTTACGTGAGTCAGCGGGCAGCAGCCCCCCACTCACCACACACAGTCTTTTTGAGAATTCTCAGAAAACATACGTTACATGAGTCAGCGGGCAGCAACCCCACTCACCACACACAGTCGGCGCACGAGGCAGCACGCGGTGGCGCTTGGGGCGGGACCCTGTCTGCACTACGAGCGACCAGAAGGAGCCCTTGATGCCAAAGATGTCTGAGAAGCGCAGCACATCCTTGCCCCCCTCCTTGAACAGCACTGGCAACTCGTTCCTCCGCTTCCCTTCCTCCTCCCCTCCCCTCCCCTCCCCGTTCTCCTCTCCCTTCTCTCCCTCCAGCCCCTCCTCGTCTCCTACCCCTTCCCCCTCCCCTTGCCCAGCCCAATCCATTGCATCTGTCTCACCGTCACCAGCACCCCTGCCCTGCTGCCCACCACCCTCTTCTCCCCCTTCCACGCCTTCCCCTTCACCAGCAGCATCCTCCTGTTCTCTCATCTCCTCATCCTCCCTCTCACCCCCAACCCCCCCATCTGCCTCCTCCGCACCCTTGATAGCAGCACCTCCAATCTCTGCCTCGCCTCTCACTCCCTCCTCGTCCTCTTCCTCCCCCTGTCCTCCTTCCTCACTCCCTGGAGCCATCTCCCCAGCTGCCCACTGCCCTCCCACCATTTCCTCTCCGCTTCCTGCTCCTCCCACAACAACCGCCTCTTCATCTGCCGCAGCACCACCTTCAGCACTCGCTTTCTCCTCTTCCCCCTCCTCGTCCTCCTCTCCCGCCCCTTCCTCCCCCTCGCCTCCCTCCTCCCCATCATCCAAACCCCCCTCGCCCTCATCCATCCCCCCCTCCCCCTCCCCCTCTCCTTCATCCATTGCCTCCTCCAACGCTGCTTCTAAGTCTTCCTTCAAATCGTCCTCCTGCTCCTCCGCTCCCTCGTTCTTCTCCTCCTCCTCATCTCCCTCCTTCCCATACTCTTCTCCCACACCCTCTCCCTCACCATCTCCCTCAACCTCCCCTTCTCCGTCCCCTTCCTCCCCTCCCTCCTCCTCAGCTTCCTCCTCCGCCCCTTCTTCCTCCTCTGCCTCCTCTTCCTCCCCTCCCTCCTCTGCCTCCTCTTCTTCCCCTCCCTCCCCTTCTGCCTCCTCCTCTTCCCCTCCCTCCTCCGCATCCTCTTCCTCATCCTCCTCTTCCTCTTGACCTATGCCTCCTTCGTCCTCCCCCTTAGCCCCCTCTACCTCGTTATCCCCACCTTCTTCCACTTCTTTCTCGCCCTCCTCTTCCTCTTCTTCCTCCTCCTCCTCCTCCTCCTCTTCACCTCCCTCCTCTTCTTCCTCCTCGTCGTGCTCCTCCTCATCCCCTTTCTCCTCCTCCTCATCCTCCTCAGCCTCCTCATGATCATCCAGCCCTTCATCCAACCCTTCATCAAGTGAGCCCTGTGTGATCCCCTCTCCTTCCTCCTCTCCATCTAACCCCTCGTCTAGCCCATCCCCTTCCTCCTCCTCCATGTTTCCATCATCCCCTCCTTCCGCTCCTTCCTCTTCCTCTTCCTCGTCTTCCTCCTCCCCTTCCTCGTCACCCTTCTCCTCCTCATCCTCCTCACCCTCATCCTCATCCTTCTCTGCTGTACCCTCCGTTTCCTCCTCCTCATCTTCCTCATCCTCTTCTTCCTCCTCTTCTTCGTCCTCTGTGAACCCCAATTCGCCAGGGGTGGTTGGCACTGCAGTCCAAGAGTATAGGGAGGATAAGATTGAAAGTGAGACAACCAATACTGAGTGCACCAATACAAGGACGGACAGACTGAGTGCACTCGAGACAATTCCCCAATCGACACGCTCAAAGGAAAACAGCGAAAAACAAACCTGCCCACAACATTGGCATAATCACAAACAACCCTACCCCCAACATCATGACATATGCATCCCTGGGTATCTTACAAGCCCATCTTCGCATTCACTAACACATCAAAATCCATGTAACCTCCCAATAGGTCCCCCCTACACGTAACAAGACCTACATGCAAAATCGTCAGCCTCATGGCCTTCTTTTAGTCGACTCAAAACGCCACTGCTATGCCCCCCCCCCCCCTCTCTCTTCCCCGTACTTCTAACAAGACCTACATGCAAAATCGTCAGCCTCATGGCCTTGAGATGCAAATGCAGCTTCGTCCTCCCCTCCACCTCCCTCCTCCATCCCCTCTCTACCATCCTCCCCTGCTTCCTCCCCACCCTCCTCATCTTCACCCTCTCCCCCATCTTCATCAGAATCCTCCTCCTCCTCCTCGCTTCCTTCCTCTTCTCCTTCCCCCTGCCCTTCTGCATCCCCTTCTCCGTCCTCCTCTTCTTCATCTCCCTCGTCTCCTCCCTCCTCTCCCACCCGTTCCTCCTCTGCCCTATCTGCCTGCCCGGCCTCCTCCAATTCGTCTAGAAGCCCATCAAGTTCCTCATCCTCATCGTCCTCCTCCTCTTCCTCCTCTCCAGTCCTCACTTCTTCCTGCTGCTGCTGCTCGCCTTGTTCCATCCCTCCGTATCCTTCCTCTCCGAATCCAGGATCAATGCCTGCCTCCTCCTCTTCCTCGGCCTTCTCTTCATCCCCTTCACCCTCACCCTCTTCCTCATCCTCCTCATCCTCTTCCTCCTCTTCCTCCTCTTGCCCTTCTATTCGCTCTTCTGCCCCAATCTCCATATTCGCCATATCCCCAAACTCCAGTTCCAACCCTGTGACCTCCTCCTCTTTTTCCTCCTCATCCTCCTCCTTCCCCTCCTCCTCCTCCACTTCCTCTTCCTCCTCGTCCACCTCTTCCTCTTCCTCTTCCTGCTCCTCACCCCCCTCGACCGCAGCCTCCCCCCCTCCAACTGAACCCATGACTCCATCCCCAAACTCCCCTTCCCTCGCACCCTGTCCCGCTGCCTCCTCCACTTCCTCCTCCCTCTCCTCCTCCCCCTCCATCTCCTCCTCCCCCTCCATCTCCTCCTCCTCCAGGTCATAATCCTCCTCCTCCCCTGCATCACCCGCACCAACCCCTTCCAGCCCAGCAGCATAATCAAACCCTCTTCCACCAGCATCCCCACCAGCACCAGCAGCGGCAGCAGCACCAGCACCGCTGGTGCCAGCGCCAGCATCTTCCTCCTCAAACGCCTCATCTATATCCTCGTAGTCCTCTGCGTCATCAGCTTTCCGGTCGTAGTCTGCTCGTTACGGCAGGGGACACACAAGCAATTTTCCTATCAAATCAACAATCCAAACCCATGCAGCTCGTTCTTTCCGGTTAAAATCTGCGCGTCAGCACAGCGACAAGGAGGCGCGCGCGCACAGTAAAGACACAAATTACCAGGTTTGCAGTCCTGCGATTTCCCATCGCTTCCCGCATCGTCTGCTTTCCCGATCATGGCCTGCTCGTTCAGCAGCGGCAACGGAGATAAGTCTGAGAATCAATGTCTCAGAGAACAGACTCACCATCATCATCATCACCAGCTTGCCCAGCCCCTGACCTCGCCTCAAACTGCCAGGAAAGGTTCAAAGCACAGGAAAACGGCAAGCAAGCATCAGGGGAGGCCAGCAGACGCCAAGCAGGCTGATCGGTGTAGGATGCCAGTCTTTTCTTCTGAACGAAAAACTGGAAGATAGTAAATGAATCACATAAATCCATCCCATCCCAACAGCACTTCCACCACGTCGGTCAAGGCTGGGCAGAGCTCGGTGCTAGTGGGTGCTAATTAGGTCAAGTACTAGGCCAACCCGGAAAAAAATCACCTAAAGAAGAAAAGAGACGAGTTATTTATCACCCAACAGTACCTCCATGTCAGCCAAGGCTGGACCGAGCTGGTCCGCCAATCCAGCTAAGTGATCCCTCGCCTCCTGCGGGATAAGACAACAAACATCGTGTAAGAGACGGTTCAGGAGGGGTAACACAATGAACCAGAGTGTAAGAGTCAGATCAGGAGGACGGATAAGACAAACACTGTCAGCAACCATTCCTGTCAGAACGCGAAGAACCTGACTTCGATGTTCTTAGCGCAATCATGTTAAAGTTTATGCTGAGAAATTGGTGTCACGAGTATTTGAAGGATAAAGACGAAACCGTATATTCATGTACTGTTGGCCAACATGTACCTCATCCATGTACTCCTCCTCCAGCGAACCCTCGTCGTTCACATTCCCCAGCATAAACGCCAGCATGTTCGGCACACCCCTCTCCTCGTCATCGTCCTCGTCGTATTCATCCTCCTCCTCCACTTCGTCCACATGCTCGTCGTCATTGTTACCCTCGTACCCGGTATCGTGACGAGAGTAATCCATGAAAACGACCTAAAGAAGAGACAAAATGGTAAGGTTACGTGGGTGGGTGCTAGCTCGCGACGAAGCTGGTCAGTCGGTGGTTCAGTGCGCTTCTTGACGAGTACGAGAAGTTGTGAAATTTAAGAATACGAAGCGACTACGATATATGAATGCTACTCGCAGCAATCCACGGCGTAAAGCAATATCCACCTAATCGAATGAAATCGCTCTATCCAGAATCTTGTTAGGTCCAATACTTGAAACAACTGAATCGTTTGCCGTAACTTGCACGTCATCGCAAGAGGAAACGCTATCGCAAAATTGCAGATAAACTGAGAAAAAATCCTCCCTGACTTGGTGGCCTAGTCCTCTTCGTCGACCATACTACATTATATACCCCAAGGCGTCCATCAGGAGGCACTTTTACTCGTTCCAGACTTCCCAGTCCAGGCATTATCAAGGTGGGACGAGCCGCGCATGGTCCCCTGGGGGCTGAGGTCCGTTTTGTGCTAGATCACATTGAAATTGCCGAGATGTCCGAGTGGGTGAATTTTGTTTCAGGGCGGACAGAGGTCGCGGGTTCGATCCTTCTGGATGAGAGAGTTCACCTGCTGCATAGCCGTATATCTGGTTCCATTGATGAGCAAAATGTGTAACAGGCTTGACAGGCGAAGTGATATCGAAATTACGCTACCACTTCGTGAACGCTTGCCACGTTGCGCATAGCGATTGATTGGAACTGTCCCACTGTCAGACGAATTTCTGACTTACAGGGCCAAACCAAACCAGTACCTTGGTTGATTCAAAACCCTTGACGCAACATTGGCACTCAAAATTTGGTGAAGCCCAAATCTGGTTCTGTCACAGCTTCGACAGGTGGGAAACAAGTCCGGCAACGAACCTTGTCACACAGGCTCGATCTCCGAAATACCCGAAGGAATGCCTCTGCTTGCATGTGTTGAGACAGTTTTCAAGTTCGCTCTGAACCGTCCGATCTTTCCCGCCTTTGCCATCGCTCTCCGATCTGGTTTTCCCGCCGCTCTTCCTGTAATTCATCAGAGCGTGCAATCCCTTGGTTCAGGAGGAATCAGGAACCATGGAAGCTACAGTGACGACTTTCTTCTCCACTGCTCTGCTAGCTTTCCTGATCTTGGACCTCTGTGGTCCCTTAGTGACTGGTAGATCGTCTCAGCGTATGTTGAGCAGGCCTGATCACCAACTACGTCCTCGGCTACTCACCGTCCTGACACGGTCGTTATTTTTTGTTAGCTTCCGAAATATGCATCCTAACAGTCGAGCGTCCGATCTGCTTAGGTGTATGTTCACGCCATCTAATGTCATTAGCCTCACAGGCTGAAACGACCAGGCACTCTGTGTCTCGTATGTCCTCATTGGATCGCTCGTCTTCTCACGGTGTACCTCGATATTGCCGAGATTCGCCTAGTAATGTGGATCCCAGCAAAGGCCTCCAACCAAATCGGGTACCTGGTAGTCTCGCTGACTGTCTAACAATTCGACACGTATCGAGCGTCGACGAGAACAGCTATATCGCGTACAGCGACCTGAAGAGCGATCACCGCGCAACAGCTGACCTCGTGAAAGGGAAGCATACTCCTGACCAGAGCTCGCCGAATGCTCGTTGTCCGCTGGTAACAAATCTGACCAATCATTCGCAAGGGCTCCATATGGTCGTGAACCAGCCTGCATCCTCGCAGGCTCAAGGGGGATCCGATACGCAGCAACGGACTCCGGCCGCTGAAAGTCGCAACCACCGCGGTACAACCGAAGCTTCTAGACCCGACCCTCATAACCAGCGCCAGCGTGACGAAAGCTCGTTAACGAACAGTCACAATGGGTCGATTCCTGTTGGAAATCGGACGGCGGAGGGAAAGGATCCGGCACGGGCAAATGGCACGAGTTACGGGGTTACAAATTCTTCGCCATCGCTGCAGTCGACACAGCCGAATCCGACGGATCGTGTAGCGCAGCGTGAACCGAAATCTGGAGATCGGGAACAAAAAGAGCACACGGCTATAGGGATTCCCGGTGCTGCTAATAGTGCGGACAGGCAAGATCCGGTGAAGGTCACCTCAGCACAACAAAGGGAGGGAGATTCGGGGCCTCGACTGGCCCAAATTCAGGAGCCTGGAGCGGCTGCCGTTGGTATGTCTGCACTCCCTAGTTCAGTCCGAGGAATGGCGCAGCAACAGGAGCATGCCAGAGTGCCAGAGAAGGCTTACCAGCAGCTGTTGCAGCAGCAGACAGCGCAGCAGCAGCAACCACAACAACCTCACCACCACCAGCAGCAACAATTGCAGCAGCAGCAGCAGCAGCAGCAGCAGGAGCAGCAGCAACAGCAAAATCAGCAACAACAGCAACAGCAGCAGCAACAACAACAGCAACAGCATCAGCAGCAGCAGCAGCATCAGCAGCAGCAGCAACAACAACAATCCGAGCAGCAGCAAGCGCAGCCGCAACAAGCACAGAAGCAGCAGCAACAGCCTCAATCTCAACAAGCACCGCAGCAGCAACAACAACCCCAGGCGCAAGGCCACGAGGGACAGGCGCAGCAGCAAGCTCAGGTAACGGCGCAGCAGCAGCAACATCCCCAGGCGCAGGCGCAGTCACAGGCACAGGCGCATGCACAGGCGGAACAGCAGCTGATGGCATCCCAAGGTCAAGCTCAGCAAATGCAAACACAGCCGGCGCAGCAGTTTCAATCGCAGCAGCCTTTTGCTTCCCAGCTTTCCGTGGTGCAGCAGCAGCAGCCTCAGCAGCCTTACTATCAGCAACCACTGCAGCAGCAGTACACGCAGCAGCAGCAGCAGTACACGCAGCAGCAGCAGCCGGTTCCGCAGCAATTTCTCCCAACCCCAGCACAACTTCAGGCGCAGCAGCCAGCACAGCCACAGCAGCAGCAGTTCGGTCCACCTGCGTACCAGCAGCAGCATCTTCAGCAGCCGCAACAGCAGCTGCAGCAGCAACCTTTTTTGCAGCAGCAGCAACTGGTATCAGCACCGCAGCAAAAGCCAATGCCTGGCCATCAAACAATGGTGCAACCGCAGCAACAGCAGCAGCAGCAGCAGCAACAGCAGCAACAGGCTCAGCAACAGCAACAGCAGCAGCCGCCGCTGCCGCAGCAGCAGCAGCAGCAGCAACAGGCTCAGCAGCAGCAACAGCCGCAGCAGCAGCAGCAACAGACTCAGCAGCAGCAACAGCCGCAGCAGCAGCAGCAGCAGCAGCCGCAGCAGCCGCCCCAGCAACAGCAGCAGCAGCAGCAGCAGCAGCAGGCACAGCAGTTTACTGTCGAGGGATCTCAGGCTTCCTCTTCCGTTCCTGTAATGAACGGTGTGACTGTAATGCCGCAGCAACAGCAGCAGCAGCAAGGCATGGCGCAGCAGGGCATGGCACAGCAGGGCATGGCGCAGCAAGGCATGGCGCAGGCACAGGGCATTGGTCCGCCTCAGATGGTGGCTCAGCTTCAGGCGATGGTGCAGGGGCAGGGCACAGGGCAGCAAGGGATGCCCCACCCTCAGATGCATCACGGAATAATGCAACAGGGCATGGCGCAACAGGGTATGGCGCAACAGGGTATGGCGCAACAGGGTATGGCGCAGCATGGGATGGCGCAACAAGGCATGCCGCAACAAGGCATGGTGCAACAAGGAATGATGCAACAGGGGTTTGCGCAACAAGGCATGGTGCAACAGCAAGGCATGGTGCAACAAGGGATGATGCAGCAAGGCATGCCGCAACAAGGAATGACGCAGCAAGGGATGGTGCAACAGCAAGGCATGGCGCTGCAGGGGATGATACAGCAAGGCTTGGCGCAACAAGGCATGGCGCAACAAGGCATGGCGCAACAAGGCATGGCGCAACAAGGCATGGCGCAACAGGGGATGGCGCAACAGGGGTTGGCGCAACAAGGCATGGCGCAACAAGGCATGGCGCAACAAGGCATGGCGCAACAGGGGTTGGCGCAACAAGGCATGGCGCAACAAGGCATGGCGCAACAGGGGATGGCGCAACAGGGGATGGCGCAACAGGGTATGGCGCAACAAGGGATGGCGCAACAGGGGTTGGTGCAGCAGCAGGCTCCACAGCAGTCGATGTTTGGCTTCCAAGGAGGGCCATCCGCCTTCCTGCCACACAACGGACAAGCCTACCAGCAACAGATGCAACAAGTGCAGCAGATGCAGCCGATGCAGCAGGTGCCCTCTTTCCAGCAAGGCCATCAGATGCAACAAGGCCCGGTACCGATGCAACAAGGCCCGGTACCGATGCAACAAGGCTCGGTACCAATGCTACAAGGCCCGGTGCCTATGCAACAAGGCTCGGTGTCCATGCAACAAGGACCGATACTGATGCAGCAAGGCTCTGTATCGATGCAACAAGGCCCGGTGCCCATGCAACCTTCACCTGGAGCGCCCATGCAAGCAGGCCTGCCAATGCCCCCGCACCCGCCGTTTCCTGCTACTCCTGCCATGCCTATGACTGTGCAAGTGGTTTCAGCTTCCCTCCCTGCGGCCATGCAGCAACACCACCACCAGCAGCAGCAGCCGCCCGGTCATGTACCTGGACACAACAGCATGCCTGGTACGCAGCAGACTCTCGTCTTTCTGATTGGAGACTCAGCTACTCTTTCTTGGTCCACAACGTTGTTGCGTATCCTCCTCCCTCCATCACGCACTTGCTTTCTCGCTCTCTCTTTCATCCCCCCGCTCTCCTCTCTCCCCTCACCTTCATTCACAATGATGCAGAGGCAGGAGCATCCATTCCCCCGCCACCGCCCTGTCACCCTTCCATCCCGTTTTCCCGCTCTTTTCTGCCTCTCTCTCTCTCTCAACTTCATTCTGTCGATTTCGGATCGTGGGCGCCCTTCACAGTGACGCAGTGATAGCAGCTGGAGCAACAGGCGCTCGCCTTCAAGTCCCTCGTCGCAGACTGGTGAGACGTCTCTCATGAGTCCCCTTCTTCCCTCTCTCGCCTTCCCCCTTCGCCCCACCCATCTCTCAGGCGACTTCGGGTCATGGGCGCCCTTCACAGTGACGCAGTGGCAGGAGCTGGAGCAGCAGGCGCTCGTCTTCAAGTATCTCGTGGCAGGCTGTTCAGACATCTCATAAGTCCCCTTCTTCCCTCTCTACCTGCAGGCGACTTCGGGTCATGGGCGCCCTTCACAGTGACGCAGTGGCAGGAGCTGGAGCAGCAGGCGCTTGTCTTCAAGTACCTTGTTGCAGGCGCGCCCGTTCCCCCCCACCTCGTTGCCGCGCTCAGAGCCTCCTGCGCGCGCCTGCCCCCCTTGGCGGCACTTCAGCAGCCCCCTGCTGCCCCCGGCGGCCAACGTGAGTCTCTCTCTCCCCTCTGCATGTCTGTCCTATGTCCATCCATCCTATGCATATGCTCGTTCCTGTGCTTGCTGCTGCACTCTCACTTGCATCAATACTGATGGTTCCTTTTCCTCCTCTGCCTCGTCCTCCTGTTCCTTCTCGTCTCTCCCGTCTCGTCTCTCTCGTCCCTTCTCTCCTGTCCCCTCTCCCCTCTCGCCTTGCTCCTCTCTCCCCGTCCCGCCCTTGTCCCGTCTCCCTCACCGAGCAGCGGGGTGGGGGCAGGTAACGCAGCAGGTGGAGCTGGAGCCGTTCAGACGCAGAAGAACGGATGGCAAGAAGTGGCGATGCTCCACATCTCGTCTCTCCTTACTCCTCTCTCCTCTCTTCCTGTCCCGCCCTTGTCGCGCCTCCCTAACCGAGCAGCGGGGTGGGGGCAGGTAACGCAGCAGGTTGAGCTGGAGCCGTTCAGATGCCGACGAACGGACGGCAAGAAATGGCGATGCTCCAGAGAGGTATGTATGAGAGATGGGGATTCTTCTTCATAGAAATTTGGGAAAACTCTGTTGCTGCTGCTTTCCTCCCAAGAAGCACGTCCAGCAACGCCCGTAGGCATGTGGTGATTCCCTCTTCCATCCTGCTGTCTCTCTTTGTCCTCTCCGTCCTCTCCTTCCCTGCAATCACTACCACGAGCGCTACATGCTCCTTCCGCGCAGCGCCACATGCATCTTTCATCCCCCCCGCTGCTCTCTTTACCTCATGCACTCCCCCCCACCAGGTGGTACCGGATCAGAAGTACTGTGAGCGCCACATGCATCGCGGGCGCAACCGCTCTCGCAAGACCCACGACCGCGCTGCTCCAGGCACCTCCCTCGTTGATGCAAACGATGCTGACGACGGCCCTCCTTCTGCTGCCGCTGGTGGCGCTGCTGGTGGCGCCGGTGGTGCTGGTGGTGGTGGCGGTGCTGCTGGTGCTGGTGCTGGTGGCGATACCACTGGTGGCGATGCAAGCATGCCAAGAGCAGCAGGAGGTGCAACTGCAGGGGGTGCAGGAGGGGTAGGGGGAGGTGCAGGAACAGGGGTTGCGGGAGTGAAGGCAGGTGATATGACCCCATCTAGTCTCAACACCACGGATTTCACCACTTCCCAGAGAAATACTCCTTTTCCCGGCAGTGCCACTTACCCTCCCAGTGCCACTTACCCTGCCACTGCAACTTACCCCGGCAGTGCCACTTACCCCGGCAGTGCCACCCACCCTGCTGTTGCCATGTTCCGCCCATCTGCAGAGGGAGCAGCAGTGCCAGCAGTGCTGCACGGGAACGCCCCGCCTCCGCTCACTCTTCCCCCTCCCGTGCATGCAGTCGCTGTGCCTTCTGCAGGGCAGGGTGGGTCAGGGCAGGGAGGAGTAGGGAATGGGGGGGTGGTGGCAGGGGGAGAGGGAATGCAGCAGTTACAAGGAGCAGGTGAATCAGTGGGAGGGGCCCAAGGGGGAATTCAAGCAGGAGTGCAAGGAGGGGTTCTACAAGGAGGGGTGCAGCAAGGAAGGATGGGAGGAGCAGCAGCAGCAATGGGCCTTCAAAGAACGGGAGAGGGGCCACGAGGAGCGGGAGAGGGGACGATCCCCAGCCAGTAGGTTCGCCTCCTCATGGGTCTCTCTCGTGGGTGCCTGTCTCACTCACACTGAGCATTTGATTTGTGTCCCGCTACCCCTTCCACGAGCTTCTTCGTATTTCTGTTGTGTTTCAGCAGTTTCCCAAAAGCAGTGCCCGTCTCACTCACACTGTTCAGTTCAGCCCCTTGTTCCGCATTTGCGCTTTCGCGTTGCCATCTAACCTTGGTGCTTTGTGTCAGTGTTACTCCGGCAGTGCACTGATTTTATTGTCTTCCCCCTCTGCTTTTGAATCGTCTCTTCAGGTCTCCTGGTCTACACCCTGCAGCACCGCACCACCCACCCTTCCAGATGCAAGAGTCGCAGCAGCAGCAGCAGCAGCAGCAGCAGGAACAGGTGAGGCCAGGGCAACAGGCAGTGCAATTGCAGTGGGAGCACGGTCGCTTGCCTCGCCAGCCCTTCTCCTACCAGCCACCACCACCGGCCCCACAGCAGCACCACCCGGCCCCACCCCCCCCTTCGCCCTCTCAAACTCCTTTGAATTCTATTCAGACCGGACCTGTGTCTGCCTCGAATCTCGCACAGCAGCAGCAGCAACAGCAACAGCAGCAGCCGCAGCACCAACAGCAGCAGCAGCAGCAGCAGCACCAACAGCAGCAGCAGCAGCACCAACAGCAGCAACAGCAGCAGCACCAACAGCAGCAACAGCAGCAACAACAGCAACAACAACAGCAACAGCAGCAACAGCAGCAGCAACAACAGCAGCAGCAGCAGCAGCAACAGCAGCAACAGCACCAACAGCACCAACAATACCAGCAACAGCAGCAACATCAGGCATCAAGTGCAGCAGCACCAGCCGCACCAGCCGCACCAGCAGCAGCTCAAGCGTCTCCACGGCTGGGCAGCACAGGAGGCAATCAGCTGCTGCCAGGGCACTACCAAATAGGAGGGCCCCGCCTGCACCCCTCCCCTCTCATGGGGCCGTGTGCCCCCCTCCGTGCCTCCACACCCACACACGGCCCTGCACTCCTCCACACATCGACGCCTGTACCCTCCCCTCTTCACGTGCCAAGAGAAGCAACAGCAGCCCCGCGCTCTCCTTCCCTGCAAGTTTCCAAACACCCACATGCCCTTCCGTCTCCCTCTCCTTCCTCCGCCCCCTCTCCCTCGTTACATGCTCTCAAGCCAGCTGCCTCGCCTCTCCTCCAAGTGTCGAGGCTCGGAGTCCCCCCATACCAGCAGCAGTCGGTAGGGCCAGCAGGGTTGCAGTCCCATCAGGCAGCAAGGGTCCAGCAGGCGGCTTCCTCTGACCAAGTGTCGAGGCTCGGAGCCTCCCCATTCCCGCAGCAGGCTGTAAGGGCAGCAGGATCGCCTTTCCAGCAGGCACCAAGGTTCCAGCAGGCGGCTTTCTCCGATCAGAGACCTGCCTCTCCTGCCCTGCATGCGCTCACGCAAGGGCCCTCCCAGTCCTTTCGGCCGGTCCAGCCAGCAGCGTCGCCCGCGCTACAGCCGTTGGTGCGTTCAACCATGGAGATGGCTCAAAATTCGCCTGTGCTACAACCGGCTGTCACTCCGATGCGGCAATCTCGAGGTATTGCTTCCACTGGTGGGGCCGAGGGCGGGGATGGTGCCGGTGCTGGTGCTGGTGCTGGTGCTGGTGCTGTGAATGGGGTCGGGACCAGAGGCAGCAGTGGTGTTGCGAGCTATGGTAACGCCCATAGCAGCACGTATGGAGCTGCTGTGAGCGCGAGTGTTGGGAGAGCAGAGGGCAGGGATGGTGGAAGAGGTGGGGAGGAGGAGGAGGAGGCATGCAGGGAGGAGAGAGCGGGAGGTGGGGCGAGGCCGCATTCAGCTGCTGCTGGTGCTGGTGGTGCTGCTGCTGGTGCTGGTGGTGCTGCTGGTGGTGCTGAAGCAGCTGGAGGGATGCAAAAAGAGAGAGGAGGAGATGTTGGAGGAGCCGTGGAGAGCGGCTTAGGCACAGCAAGGCCATCTCCCAATGTAAGCACCGCCGTCGACTGATTTGCTTTTGATTTGAGGTGCCTAATAAATCAACTCCTCACGAAGTTCTGAGGTGCCTTCAAATTAGACCGGTTTAGGCGCGGCAAGGCCATTTTCCATTGTAATAAGATGACTTTTGAGTTGACTCAAAAGTCTTTTGAGGTGCCTTAAAAGTAGACCTGCTTAGGCATGGCTAGACCATTCCCCAATGTAAGCCTGCCCACCAGTGTAGGTCTCGTAGCCATTCAGGCATTTCTTTTGACCACCTGTTCCCAACCCCTTGTTCCCAGTCCCTTGTTCCCAGCCCCATGCTCCATGCTGATTTTACATCTCCTCTGCTTTTGCTGAACGAGGCTGTCTGTGTTTGGTTTGCTTTTCCTGTCCCTCTCTTCCCGCTGTGTGTGTTGCAACCAACATTCAGTCAGGCAGAAAGTGGAGTGGGTGACATCACTCCCGTTATAAGCTCATCCCCATGTCCTGTGGTCATGCAGTCCCATAGAATGCTTTCAGTTGATTCATAACTTGTGTTTCCCCCTTCCTCCCGTGCAGTGTGTGTTGCAACCGACATTCAGCCAGGCAGAAAGTGGAGGGGGTGACAGCACTCCCGTTATAAGCCCGTCACCAGGGCCTGTGGTGATGCAGTCCCATAGACTGCTGTCTCCAGTGCAAGTGGGAGCACCACAAGCTGCACACATACACAGGAGATAAGCAAGCATGCACGATAAGCAAGCATGCACGATAAGCAAGCATGTGCATGCACCAGTGACACTTGCACTGGTGACAGGAATCATATGTGCTCGTTGTTATCGTCATTTCCTGATCAGGATTGAAGTTCCATGGGTTGGGAGCGATTAAAACGCCTGCATTGCTGAGAGCAGGCTTGCGGTGCGGGCTTGGTAGAATGTACTACTAAAGATCAGACACTGTAGTTTATACTACAAAAGCCCATACTAATATACGGTACTCTTGAGTTCAGCCACGACAGCGCGGCTCTTCAAGTTTCAATTCGCCGATGTATACCACAGTGGTGGCGCGGTTGCAGTTGCGTACGACTGACCGACACTGCCAGCTGTGGTAGTGACAAGCGTTCTAGCACATGGGTACCAAACAAACCAACCAAGGTACCGTACCTTACCTGACCCGGCGGCTAAACACTGGACTGGTGTATTTGCTCATACTGGTGTATCTGCTCACACTGGTAACTGGTGTACCGTATTTGCTCTTGTGTATTTGCTCTTACTGGTGTATTTGCCCAGGGGGGACTATTGGGGTGTACATGCACTGGTACCTTACATGCTAGTGGTTCTATACAGCTTACAGCCTCTATACCTAGAGAGTCTCACATCAGTTGGCATCATATACATTGTGAGATGTTGCTTGCGAATGGCTGATACACCTAATGCAAATGAGAGCAATTTTTGTACTACCAGACAAACAAAGCAATAGCCAGCATGGGAAAATCGATTTCTCAGTTGACTCTCAAGCTCCGAAGGGCCAGCGTCAGCAACAGTCGGACGCAACTGCTACTGATGTGCTCGTTGCATGTGCTACTGACGTGCTCGTTGCATGTGCTGATGATGGACTTGTTGCTGCTGCTGCTTCTGCTGCAAAACGAGTGCTCCCAGTGGCTGGCCGTGTGCCCCCACCCGCAGCAGCCAACACAGAAGCAGCAGAAGCAGCAGCAGCAGCAGCAGCAGCATCACCAACAGCGCCACTACCACAATCTACCGCATTTTCCGATGCAGCGTCAGGGCCAGCAGTGTCTGTATATGCAACAACAGCAGAAGCAGCAGCAGCCGGAGCAGACGCAGCAGGAGTGGCAGGAGCAGTTGGAGGAGGAGCAGGAGCAGCAGCGGTAGCAGGGGGAGGTGAGGAAAAGGAAAAGCCAGCTTGGTTGGGGTTGGGAGAGGGCCACTTGCCGACCCACTGGCCAAACAGCTCAGAGGAATCTACCCTCGATGTATGCAGCCCTGCTGCTGCTGTCGCACTCGCATCAGCAGACAAGGGCCCCACTGCTCCTGCTACTCCCACTACTCCTGCCCCTCCTGCTGCTGCTGCCGCCACTAGTGCTCTAGCACCAGCAGCACCCATGCCATCGCTGCCAGAGCTAACGCCACCAGAGCTACCGCTGCCAAAGACGGGCGGGGTGGTGGTGGAGATGGACGGGAGAGGCGAAGCGTTGAGAGGCGAGTCGGCAAGATGAAGCAGCTCGGCAGAGCTGAGGCGAGCAAGCCTGGCTGCCGCGGCTGCGAGCGCGGACGGCGTGAGCGACTCTCCGAAGAGATCCGTCGAGTTCTGCCGCCCGAAGAGGTCTGCCGAGTTCTGCCGCCCGAACAGACCTGCCGAATTCTGACGGCCGAAGAGCTCCCCGGAGCTCTGGCGGCTGAAGGCGTCGGCAGGGTTGTGCAGGAGAGAGGCGGCGAGGGAGGCAGCGAAGGAAGGGCTGCTGAGATAGGAGGCGACTGAGGGACTGCCTATGTTGAAAGGGACGTTGCCCATGGTGAACTGGAGATTGAGGCTTGGGCTTCCCATGGGGAAGGGGAGGGGGCCTGAGGGAACTCGGAAGGGGAATGAGGAGGGAGGCGGGTGCGAGGAGGGAGGGGTGGGTTCTGCTGCTGCTGCTCCTGCTGCTGGTTGTGTTTGTCGCTGTGCTGGTGGTGTCTGGAGCATTGGCTCAGATGCGCCTCCTGCTGTCCCTGCTGCTTCACTGACCCAATGGTCCAGGGATGACTGTTTGGGAAAGAAGTGACGGGGGCCGGCAGCAGCAGCAGCAGCAGCATCAGCATCAGCAGCATCAGCAAATGCGCCTGCTGCTGTCCCTGCTGCGTCACTGTTGCTGCAAGGGTTGCTGCTGGCATTGACCCAATCGTCTACCAGAGATGATTGCTTGGGGAAGAAGTGACGGGGGCCAGCAGCAGCAGCAGCATCGTCCCCATCCTCACCACCATCCGAATCACTACCACCATCATCATCCTCACCATCATCATCACCACCACCACCGTCGCCACGAGCAGCATCAGCAGCAGCAGCATGTTCAACCGCGGCAGCACTAGCAGCAGCAGCCTGCCGCCCAGCAGAAGCTCTGGCAGCAGACATATGGGCAGAATTGGCCTGAGCAGCGAGCATATGGGCGACAGAAGCGGCAGCCATGGCTGCTTTCTCCGCCTGTGCGATCACCAGCAGCGGGTCGTCTGCTGCGTCTGTGGCTGGCGGTAGCACCGACGCTGTTGCTCGCTTCAACTCCCAGCGACCACCTGGAGAGTGGGAGAGAGAAGAATGGGAGGAAGGGGGATTAGGGAATGAATCTGGAAGAGCCTCAGGAGCCAGCAGCTGGTCGCCTGCTGCGTCTGTGGCTGGCGGCAGAACCGACGCTGTTGCTCGCTTCAACTCCCAGCGACCCCCTGAAGAGGGAGAGAGGTTCATGTGATGAAGGGGGATAGGCGGAAGGGAGATGAGGGAATGTGAGGGATGTGTGCGAGAATAGTGGGGAGATTTTGAGACGTCTCAAAAACTCTCACATGAGAGAATAACGGGGAGGAGGAAAATGATACGAGGAAAGAGGGAAAAGACGGGGGGACGAAGGAGAGGAAGGTCAAGAGATAGACAACGAGGGAAGAGGAAAGGGGTGAGGGGAGAGGAAGGGAGGACAGGCAGGAAAGAGAGGGAGGCAAAGGGAGAGAGATGGAGGGAGGGAGAGCGAAGGAAGAAGAGAGACAAAGGAAGAAAGATGGGGGAGGCGAGAGGAAGGGGGAGAGAGACTCACGAGAGCTAGGCGAGAGCATGCTGAGGGCGGATGGAGATGGCTGAGGTCCCCACGGCAATGGTTTGTTATATTGATTGAAAAACCAGGTGCAACACGAGGGATGAAAGGCGAGAGAGGCAGAGACTCACGGGAGCTAGGCGAGAGCATGCTGAGGGTGGATGGCGATGGCTGAGGTCCCCACGGCGATGGTTTGTTATATTGATTGAACAACCAGGTGCAACACGAAGGATGGGAGGTGAGAGAGGCAGAGACTCACGGGAGCTAGGCGAGAGCATGCTGAGGGTGGATGGCGATGGCTGAGGTCCCCACGGCGATGCATTCGCATTGAAATTCGCATTCGCGTTTGCGTTTGAAGCGCCACCACTGGCCGCAGCAACGGCAGCAGCAGAGGCAGACGCAGCAGAGGCGTTTGCAAAAGAGTCAGCCCCAGCAGCAGTGGCAGAAGCATCTCCAGCAGAAGAAGCAGCAGCAGGAGCACCACCACCACCACTGTGTGCAGCAGGAGGAGCCGCAGCAGTAGTGAATGTGGGTTTGATGGGAGGAGGCAAGGGAGGGAACGGGAGGCTGGAGGCAGGCGGTAAAGCGAAGAGGGGCGGGCGAGGGGGTTTGGGTTTGCAGGAAGAAGGAGAGAGGGAGAGCTCTGTTCCCGCTCCTTGGCGACCTTCTGGCGTGCTGCGGGGAGACATGGCAGAGGGCGGAGAGGGGGGGGAATCACATTGGGGTTGGGGAAAAGAAAGTGCGTCTTGGCTTGCAGGAAGGAGGAGAGAGGGAGAGCTCTGTCCCTGCTCCCTGGCGACCTTCTGGCGTGCTGTGGGGAGACAGAAAGAGGGAAGATGGGGGCGAATGGGGGCGGGAGGGGTGCAATGAGGTGGCTGAATGGTGAATATGGCTACCAGATACTTGCAGGGAGACAGAGAGTGAGAAAGAGGGAGAGCTCTGTTTCCGCTCCCTGGCGACCTTCTGGCGTGCTGTTGGGGAGACATGGCAGAGGAATGGGCGTGGGGGTTTGGGGTAGAGGGAGGATGGGGCATTGAAGATTTGAGTCGAAGGAAGGGAGGCAGGGTCGAATCTACTCGTTTCTGCGACAGGAGTTTAGGGTTGAGGGAGGGTGGGGCATTGGAGATTTGGGTAGAAGGAAGGGGGGCAGGGAAGATTAGGGCCTTGGAGATTGGGGCAGGGGTGTGTGGAGCAGTGAAATATGAAACTATAGAGGGGTAGAGGAAACTGGATTGAGGCGGTTAAGTAACAGCTTCTAGGCGCCTAAAAAATCAGGAATGTGCCTATGGAGGGGTAGTGGGAATTGAATTGAGGCAGTTAAGTAAGATGCCCACACGAGAAGATTGCATGCAGAGGATAAGGGAATCGAATCAATACCTCATGTCACTCAGTCCGGCCTTGAAGCGAGTAGCTGGCGAGGGTTGCACCCCGTATGCATCCCCACTCCTCACTGCTGCTGCCGCCGCTGCTGCAGCTGCCATGATAGCAGGTGGTCGCACAGGAGGGGACTTGAACGCGCCCCATTTCACAGGCATCAAGCTGCTGTTGCCAGTGCCTGTGCCGTTGCCATTACCAGCATTCTCGCCCTCGCCCATGGTCTCCTGCCACCCCTTATCACCACCGCCCAATTGACCAGTTTCGTCTGCTTCTGCTGCTTCTGCAGCACCAGCAGCAGCCACAGCCGCTGCCGAATAACCCTTCACATCAGCCGTTTCCCCCACTACAGCAGCAGCACTGCCCCCACCCGCACCTGAACCGCCAGGGCTAGCCATATTTGCACTAGGGGAGTAGCCAAACAGGTCAGAGGAGTCAAGCCGGGCAAACCGAAGCAGCGGGTTGTCGGAGAAGCTGCGCGACAGGCCCGGGGTTCCCGGGCCTGGAGTGCCCGAGCCTGGAGTCGCCGAACCTGAGAGGTACACACCGAGGCCTGGAGACTGGTTGAGGCTATACGCCCCCCACCCGCTTCGCCCTATGCATGTTGGGGAGGTGGCACCAGTAGCAGCTGCTGCAGCTGCGGCAGCGGCAGCAGCAGACGCAGCGGCAGCAGCAGCTGCAGCAGAGGCAGCAGTGTCGGTGCTGGGCTGATTGGGGAGAGCTGCTACCCCAACAGCAGCATGAGCCACACTTGAACCTGCCCCGGTTGAGCCTGCCCCAGACAAACCTACCCCAGACAAACCTGCCCCTGCCACACCTTCGCCTGAGACTGCCTTGGCGTCGCTAAGAGGAAGGACGGATGGAGTGGCCCAAGAGGGCAGGGCAGGAGGGGAGGGAGCACGTTCAGCAGGTGTAGGAATTGGCTCCGGGGCAAAAATTGCTGCTGCCGCTGCTGCCTCTGCTGCCACTGCTGCTCCTGCTGCTCCACTTGCTCCTCCTGCTCCTGCGTCTCCTCCTGCCCCTGCTACCCCTGCGACTCCTGCTACCCCTGCTACCCCTGCGACCCCTGCTACCCCTGCTACCCCTGCTACCCCTGCTACCCCTGCTAACCCAGCTGCCCCAGCTACCCCTGCTACCCCTGCTGCTTCTGCTGCTCTACCCACGGACTGCACTTCTGCTGCACTCTGCACTGCTCCTGTTATGCCAGCGCCAGTTCCGCCACTAGAATCCATCACTGTGTGTGTAGCTGCAGCTGCATCTACTGTGTCTGCGGCTGTAGCAGCAGGGTCTGCAGGAACAGCTGCGCCTATTGCATCTCCGGCTGTAGCTGTGTCTGTGTCCATAGCTGTAGCAGAGTCTAAAGCGTCTCCAGTGCCTGTAGCGCTGTCATGCGCCATGGGGGCATGCAGCCCAAGGCTCAACCCCGTTCCCTCACTCGAAACCCCACCCTGAAAATTAGAGTTGCCGCACATAGCAGGGTTACTATAAATAGCAAGGTTGCCCATGTGGGCTGGGGTCCCTGTGGTAGCAACGTGTGGGGCAGAAGCTGCAATGGAAGCGATGGCAGGAGGCGCAGAGGCAGACGTAGGAGGGACTGCAGAAGCAGTGGCGGCATGGGCGGGGGCGGCAGCCGGGGCAGGGGGTCTAGCAGAGGCGGCAGGGACAACAGCAGCAGGGGCGGCACGGGCAGGAGGGGCAGCAGCGGCAGGGGCGACAGGGGCAGGAGGGGCAGCGGCGGCAGCAGCGGAAGGGGCAGGAGGGGCAGCAGCGGCAGGGGCGGTAGCGGTCTTGGGCGGAAGGGAAGAGAGGGCAGCGAGGTCATCAAAGAGCTCTGCCGAGTCCATTCTAGAAAACTCCAGAAACACGTCCCCAGACACACGCACCCCCCCAGGCAGAATCTGAATCACTGGTGGCTTCTTCCCTCCCTCCCCACCTCCTCCACCGCCCTTGCCGCCACCATTCCCCACTCCTCTCCCTCCCTCTTCTCCCTCCCCTCCCTCTCCTCCTCCCTCTCCCCCTCCCCCCACTCCCTTGCCTCGTCCATCCCCCTTTTCCCCAGCCCCAATTCCCGCCGTATCTGCCTCTCCTGCAGCTGCCCCCTTGGCCTGCCCGCCAGCCAGCCCATGGATGGTCACAGAGCCGCCCGCCCCAGATCCACCCTCCCCCAGCTTCACCTGCACCTCCCCGTTCACGCCGTACTGCTTGCCCCACGCGGCAATGGCGGCCGCCAGGGCGCGGATGGAGATGGATTGAAGGGCGGTGCTGTCGTTGCTGCCACTCGTGTGCGTGTGTGTAAGTGTGTTGGTGTTGGTGTTGGCGTTGCTTGTGTTTCTGGTGTTCGTGAGGGTGTTGGTGTTGGTGTTGGTGTTGGTGTTGGTGTTGGTGTTGGTGTTGGCGGTGCTCGTGTTTCTTGTGTGCGTGAGGGTGTTGGTGTTGGCGTTGCTCGTGTTTCTTGTGTGCGTGAGGGTGTTGGTGTTGGCGTTGCTCGTGTTTCTTGTGTGCGTGAGGGTGTTGGTGTTGGCGTTGCTCGTGTTTCTTGTGTGCGGTTGCGTTTGCGTTTGAGTGTTGGAGTTGCTCGTGTTTCTTGTGTGCGTCTGTGTCTGTGTCTGCGTGAGGGTGTTGCCCGTGTTGCTGGTGTGCTTGTGTGCGCTCCTGGTGACGGTGCCGTCGTTATTGGTGTGGAAGTGGGTGAGGGTGCGGGTGAGAGTGTTGCTCACATTGCGGGTGCTGGTGATATCAACCGTGCTGCTGGGGTTGATAGCAGATGCGCCTGCACCAGTCCCACCTGTGCCTGTCGGCCTGTCCGCTTGCCCTGGCTGCTGCAGCAACAACTGTGCTAGACGCTGCCGCTGATCTTGTTGCTGCTGCTGCTTTAGTGCCTGCTGTTGCTGCTGCTGCTGCTGCTTCTGTTGTGCCTGCTGCTGCTGCTGCTGCTGCTGCTGCTGATGCTGCTGCTGCTGCTGCTGCTGCTGCTGCTGCTGCTGCTGCTGCTGCTGCTGCTGCTGCTGCTGCTGCTGCTGCTGCTGCTGCTGATGCTGCTGCTGCTGTTGCTGCTGCTGCTGCTGCTGCTGCTGCTGCTGCTGCTGCTGCTGCTGCTGCTGCTGCTGCTGCTGCTGCTGCTGCTGCTGCTGCTGCTGCTGCTGCTGCTGCTGCTGCTGCTGCTGCTGCTGCTGCTGCTGCTGCTGCTGCTGCTGCTGCTGCTGCTGCTGCTGCTGCTGCTGCTGCTGCTGCTGCTGCTGCTGCTGCTGCTGCTGCTGCTGCTGCTGCTGCTGCTGCTGCTGCTGCTGCTGCTGCTGATGCTGCTGTTGCTCTTGTTGTCGTTGTTGCTGCTGCTGTTGCTCTTGTAGCTGCTGCTGCTGCTGTTGCTCTTGCTGCTGCTGCTGCTGCTGCTGCTGCTGAGCGTTTGGCATCTGGGAAGCATTGAACAGTGCGCGTAGCAGCAAGAGCTCAACATCGTTCAGTGTCTTCTTGTTTCCACCACCTGGGGCCGCCACCCCACCACCTGACGCAGCAACCCCACCACCTGAACCAGCAACCCCACCATGTGACCCGCCAGCGCCAGCTACGCCACCAAAAGCCATCCCTGTCCCAACAGTTGGAACAGCTGAGGCGACATTAGCAGGAGCACCAGCAGCACCAGCAGCACTGGCAACACCAGCACCGTTTGAAACCGCACTGGAAGGGCCCGTACCAGCAGCGCTACCTGCACCAGATATACCTGCACCGGTTGCACCCCCCCTGTGCCCTGCTTCCAACCGCTGCATCTCCTGCTGTACCTGCGCCTGCTGCTGCGCCGTCAACGCCCCCGCGAGCACCCCGTGCGCCCATGAGGTGCGCGCAGGGGAAGAGATAGACCCGGAAGAGGGAAACACGGGAAAAAGGGGGTTGGTCCCTACCTGCTGCTGCTGCTGCTGTTGCTTCTGCGTTTGTTGCTGCTGCTGCTGTTGTTGCTGCTGCTGCTGCTGCTGCTGCTGCTGCTGCTGCCCGAGATACTGCCCAAGCCCACCGCCTCCCCCGCCAGCAGCTGCACCAGTTGAACCTACCCCAGCCCGCCCTGCCCCACTTGTACCTGCACCATCTGCACTCGCTGCGGCGGCTGCAGCTGCTGCGACTGCAAATTCAACAGCCTGGGCCGACACTACACTGGATTGCTGGGTCAGGGGGTTCTGGGGAAGGTTGTTCTGGGGAAGGGTGTTCTGGGAAAGGTTGTTCTGGGGAAGGGTGTTCTGGGAAAGGTTGTTCTGAGGAAGGGTGTTCTGGGAAAGGTTGCTCTGGGGAAGGGGGTTCTGGGGCAGGGGCTTTTTGATGGATGGGGAGCGCGGAAGGGGGACGGGGAAGCCGCTAGAGGCGGACTCATGCGCGCTGCTGCCCACGGACGAGGCGTGGGGGAAGAGCGGAAGCACGGAGGGGCGGCGGAAATTGCTAGGCGAGGGGAGGGTGATGTTGGGGAAAGGTAGCGAATTGCTGGCGGGAGCTGCTGCTGCTGCTGCTGCCGGTGGTGCTGGGGAAAGGGGGCGCATTCCTTGTGCGACGCTTGAGGTGAGGATGGAAGGAGGAGGTGAGGGGGTCAACGCGTTTACGAACGCTTTGGTTTGCCCTATAGCCGCAGCCATCGGGCTTCTAATGAGGCCGGTGCCAGCAGCTGCATTAGAAGCAGTTGCGTTTGGTAAAGCAGTGTTGGGAGCAGCGGCGGCGGCAAGGGCGAGAGAGAGGGCAACAGCAGTTTCAGTGTCAGGAGGGGGGGTGGATGCTCGGGCCGCAGAGGCCACGGAGAGAAACCGGGCTGCTGCTGCTGCCAGCGCATCAGTAGGACTCAACGCCGTAGTCAACGATCCCTGCTGCTGCGACGACCCCTGCGACTGCCCCTGCGGCTGCGCCTGTGATTGCCCCTGCGACTGGCCCTGCAGCTGCCCCTGCGAGTGCTGCTGCATCAGCTGCTGCAGCTGCCCTTTCCGCACCTGCAGCTGCTCCTGCTCGTGCTGAAGCGCCTCGTACTGCTGCTGCAGTTGCTGCTGCTGCTGCTGCGACTCGAAACTCGACAGCAGGGCGGCAACAGGACCGTTAAGAATAACCGAAGCCACGTTTCCCACAGAGCTCGAAGTAGGGAAGGGGCTAGGGGAGGAGATAATACTAGCAGAGCCCTGGCGCGTAGGGGGCTGCATCAGGGGGAAGGCTAGTGCCGACCCCGCGGATCCGGTCGCGGAAAGAGCGGCGGCAACGGCGGAAGGGGGGAGCGGAGGCGCAGGGGGGAACTTTTGCTGCGAGCCAGCTTTGCGCGGGGGAGGTAGCGACCGAAGGACATCGTCTAGGGTTTTCCTCGAGGTTGTCGGGTCCGCCACGATGGAGCACGGAATGGGCGGCAGACTGCTGTTTCCCGACGCTTGCGAACCCTTGAGCGCGCCGCCGCCCTTTCCCCCAGTGGGAGAGTCCGGCGTGGTGAAGTTGGTTCGGGTGGTGGCTCCCCGGATCTGCCGCGCAGCCTCGTCGTAGGCTCGGGCGGCTTCTTCCGCCGTGTCGAACGTTCCGAGCCACTTGCGGATCTTGTGGTTCGTGTCTTTAATCTCCGCGATCCAACGGCCAGAAGCTCGCTGCCTGACTCCCAGGTACCCTCTGTTCTTCCCCTTATCCTTATCCTTGGGCTGCGGCGCCGAGGCGTTCTTTTCAGGCGTCTTTCCACGTGCCTTTTCAGGTGCTTTTCCAGGCGCGCTGTCTGCCTGATTCCCTCCATTCTGCGTTTTCGACACGTCATTTCCAGGTGCTTCGTCAGGTTCTTCATCAGAGGAACCATCTGAGTACTCCTCCTCCGTTTGCGGAGTCTTCGCGCGCCGCTTATCCTGCGAATTTGTCGGCGTGTTGTTCGCCGACGCTGTGTTACCCGACGTGGCTGGGGCCAACGACGCTTTAGCATCGCGCAGCGAAACGCCGGAAGCATCGACGACTTCGCATTTCCTGCGTTTAGACGGGTTCATCCTCTCCCGCTCGCCTTCGCCATCCGCTGAGGCGTCCCCGCAGTCTCCATCGCGGGGCATTTCGCCCTGCAAGCCGCCGTAAGCCGACGAAACCCTAAAAGATGGTAGCCGTCGAACTGTGGAACAAATAATTAACGGCTAGACCATAATGATCCTTGCAAATACCATAGCACTTAGTCCGAAGGCACTGCAAGAACGGATAACGTGGCAAGCTGACTGCTCTTAGTCATCACATCATCGGCCTGTTGCTTTACCTTCAGAAAAGGCAACCTTTGTAAACAACCAATCACAAGGTGCCGAAGGTCACGTTCTGGCAGCCACAACCACAGCCACAGAACGATGAAACGAAACTAAACGGACAGCAGCAACCCTAGAAAATGACGCCGACACAAAATCCTCACTGAGATTGTTCTGACGGTCCAGTTGAGTTTTGGTCTGGTCTGGTTCGGTTGGCTGGATGTTCAGCTGGAAAGTACTGTACATCTGGCGAAAAGGCGAAGGTGGATGCGAATCAGGAGCAGAGAGGCGTGGCGAAAGCTTGCGAGGAACAGCTGGTCAAAGCAGCCACGTTCGGCTGGGTGGCAAGCGAATCTAGAATCAACCTTTGGCCATAGGAAAGCAATAACGAGTTTTCCTTCACTACAGTTCATCGTTTAACCTGGTCTTACGACATCAATATCAGGTTTGATGGATAATACACTCTAGCTTGATTTGTTTTGCTGATTTTGCATAGAGCTTCACTATTCCAAGAGCAATTTACATCTCCTTTAGCAGACATCATCACCGCCATCGCCAAATACACCATCACCAAACAACCGGCAGCATCAATAGCATCGCAAGCATCATCGGTGCTTGGTGATCTTCTCAAGCAGCAGGTCGTATTTGGCGCCTTGCACCTCGTCAATCTGCGCCAGGTTGCGGAAGAGCTTGAACGTCGGCACCGACCGTACTCCAAGGCCCTTCGCCAGAGGCTGCTCACGCAAGACAAGCGGATAGAAACATACATGGCATGTGATCAAAACGACATCTGAAGCCGTCAGAGCCACTATTGAAGGGTCAGAACCGTGATAAGTGTCTGTAAGCAGGGTCCTGTGCTTTTGTTAAGTTAATTGTGCAAATTAATGTGCATAACAGCCGGACGCAGGTGCCTGTACAGATAGCGGGGGCTCTGGGTTAATCTGGCATAAAAAACCAGGAGTGTAACTGCGTCTTTCTTGCATACAAAGTCAGGATTTCATTGCGCGTAACCTGCTGGTATAACTTATCCTTCTTATTGATAAATACCAGGACAGTTTCCCTCTTCCATCCGCTAACTATCAAGCACCACTTCTTGCACCCTTCTTATTGATAAATACCAGGACAGTTTCCCTCTTCCATCCGCTAACTATCAAGCACCACTTCTTGCACCCTTCAGTACAGGAACATCCACAATCCTCACCTTCAACTTCGTGAACTGCATCCCTCGTTACAGTCACAGTCACACGGCTCACCTTGTTATTCTGGTTGCAGTCCAGCTTCAGGAACACCACGTCCTGCATCTCCTCTGCCAACGCCTCCACCTTGGGCGCCAGCAGCTTGCACGGGCCACACCTGTCGTACAGCATTTGGTAGAGCATTGGGTTGTTGGGCCGCTAGAAAGGCTACCGTTGGGCCATGCTTGAGCAAAGTCCGGGTGACACCTACGGCGCGCTGCGGTGCGATGGCTTTGAGCCTGCTTGTGAATTCCCCTGAGTTTTCCGGTCGGGTACAGCGGCGGAAAAAGCTAACGCTTTGTCGGCCTTTCGGAGATGATAAACTAGGGTGACAAAAACTCACCACTGGGTGTACATATCGAGCACGACGAGCTTGTCAGCGGCCGCCGCTTTCTCGAGCTCGGGGTAGAAGGAGTCCTTGTCCACCTCCATCATCCGCGACGTCGCCTGCGGTGCCTCCGCTGTCTGCGCCGCTGCCGCTGCTGCGTCCCCTGCATTCGCCCGCACTCTGCTGGCCTTGCTCACGGCCGCTGGAGCGTAATAAGGGGAAAAGACAAGAGAGACGACGGGAAGCGATGTTTTTTGACCGATTATGTCATCGATATCGCCGTGCATCGTGATGTACGGGCGACGACGAACGAACATTGGGTGTACGAATGTTTCTCACGTCGGGCATTCAACTGACCATTTTGACGTTGCTGGAAAACAGCGGCGTTTGATTTCAAGCTTCTTGTGCTGCTTGGGAACAGGGACGACGCAACCGTGCTCGAATTGGTCCCGCTCGAGGAGAGCTGCACCAATGCTCCAGTCGAAGCGGTGACAGGAGCCGCAGCTACAGCTACCAGTGCCATATCTGACGGAACGACTAAGGGCCTGTCGTAACGCGACGAGGCAGAATGGACGGATAGACGAGGCAACGACCGGGATGAGAGCACGACGCAGATGCTGAAACGTTGGATTTCACTGAACAGAATGAGAAGTGGAATTCTGTGCAGCAAGGATAGGGATTGGAAGGTAGGAAAACCAACACACTGGTGAAGGGATGGAGGTGTTACACAGATTCTGCCACAAAGCAGAACGGATCAGGCAAGGACCTGCAGAAGGCAGAGAAGTCGGTGGTTGTTGGGCAAAAGCTCCCTGCTGATTGGATGGAGGATGATAGTCTGACAGCCAGAGTGTGCCAGCGAGGCCACTAATGTGGTACAGCCTCGAGATTTGTCAAGGCACTGACGTGGAGTTTCGTCAGAATGTCTCGTGCCGTAACCTGCCAGCCACAAGTCAGGCTGAAGGATAGCAATCGCAGCTTACGTGTACGCATCGTCGAAGGCAGAAGGTTTCGAATCTCCAAGGCCAGTGGAGGCCTATCAGGTGAGCTAGAATTTCAGGACTTTCGCAGTGTGCTGTTTACAGTAATTTGTGCGTTATAAGACATCTTCAACGCTCCTCTGACAGCCCTGAAGTGAAGCTGGCGTGTTTGTTTCTGCTAAGTCGCTAAAAAGTTCGTTTGATCTCGGAATTTGTGTAACCCCAGAGTTTTACATGCCACACTGTCAATTCTATAGACCACGCAATAAGCTACATGACCGCTTTATATCGCGTGAAGTGCATTTTGATGAGCCCTTGTTGGCACAGATCGCCCCTAGTTCATGATTTTCATATTGATCATGCTTTTCACAGCTCACACCATAATAATGGCCAGTCGCGACGCGAGTAGTTCATGCTCAGCAGCTAGTCCGTAGTTATCGTCACGACCCACATTGCCCTCTCCCTGCATGCATACTCATGGCAGCTGCAGAAGCCGCATCGTACCTCGTCAGTCTCACCCTCTCCCCTGATCAAGCCAACCATTGCCTAGCCCGTTGCCCGCGCCTCGCCGAGCCGAGTACCCTCCCCAAACAGCGGGAAGTCGTCGCATTTCTCTTAGATGACCTACATTTCTCCGCCAAGGCCCTTCCGCCGCTCCTCCGCCGCTGCCCGCAGCTCCTAGCGTACAGCGTCCCCGAGAAACTCCGCCCAGCCGCGGAGTGCCTCTGCGGAGTGGGGTTCACCGCGCGGGACCTCCGCCGCGCGATCGCGCATTTCCCCGGGATCCTCGCGCGCAGCATCGAGGAGAAGCTCTGCCCGCTGCTCGCGCTCCTGCAGCACCTCGATATTGCCGAGGAGAAATGCCGACGCGTGATTCTCGCCTGCCCGCGGCTCGTCAGTTACAGCATCGACGTCAAAATGCGCCCGATCGTTCACTTTTTCCAATCCAACCTGCCCTTTTCGCCGTCGCAAGTCGGACGTATGGTTACCCGGTGCCCGCAAATCCTGGGATGCAATCTCGAGAAACAAATCATTCCCGCCATTGGCCATCTGCGTGGTATAGGTCTCATAGAAGATAAACTACTTAATCTCCTGCTACACCACCCGTACATCCTTTGCCGAAGCGTCGGGAAAACCCTCGAGCCGCGGACCGATTTCCTCCTGTCCCTAGGGTTCACACGAGCTGAGGTGGCAAGGATCGTCGCGGATTTTCCGCCAATCCTGACGAAGCACGTGGACAACGATCTGCGCCCAAAAGTGGCGTACCTGGAAGGGCCTATGGGACGAAGCGTGAGAGAGGTTTTGGGGTTTCCGCGGTTTTTCTCGTTTAGCTTGGCACGGCGAATTATCCCCAACCATAGGAAACTGCAGAGCAGAGGACGTGAAGACAGGACACTCGTAGAGTTGTGCAAGAAGAATGTGTGATCAGGGTTCTGGGTTGGAGGCGATTATCATGTCCGTTGGATCGCCAAGCCTCAGCTTCTCTAGCAGTCTCTCTAGATGGCAAGATGCTGAAGGTTGCCAGCTCTATGCTTAGCATTCTGGCATTGCCTGAACAGAAACAGGGAGGGAATCCAATGGTGCTTCCTCAACAAGTGACAAGACTGCTATGACATGACCTGACCCATACGGCTGGTGGGTCTGTTTTAGGATGCACTACCCATCAACTGCATAATATTTTGCACTTATTGGGTATATTTCGTGCCATTATTACACCTCCCTAAAAACACCCCTTCGACCTGATCACTACTCCTTCCAGTTCGTAGCCCTCAACTCCTGCTTACATTCTCTGATCACAGCCTGCTTATCAGAATCTCAGGAGCACTGCCTAATCTTAGGGTACATTCCTGTGGGGACACTTGTGTCTCAATCCCCGTTTTCCCGAGTCGCGCCTGTTAATTTTCCCAATGTTGTGTCACAAACATCGAATGTACCGCGATGTAGGGCGACATATTGGCAGGTTCAGTTGGACACGTTTCACTGGCGGGGATCAAAAAGAGATGTACAGGTGTGTGCATTTGACTGGGTGACAGTACACCCGTATTTTCAACCTCCGAGCAGGGGCGTGGTTTCGATGCGCGGGATCTTTTCCCTCGCAAAATTGGCATTTTCGGATGTCCAGGTGCATGTGGTCGTGTCGGGCATTTCGAGTCGCGTGCGATTCTTTAACAATGACGGGTCGTTTCACAATTCGACAGCGATGTCAGCGCGTTTCACGCTGACCAATAATAAATACAGTACAAGTCGTCGAAAGCCGATTCGCATTTGGGACACAACACAGTTTATGTTGTTTTTGGGTGTCACAAAGTGATTGAGACACAAGTGTCCCCACAGGAATGTACCCTTAGGTAGGAACCACTGCTTGCTTCGGTGCACATACACAGCAACACCCACACTCACTCCTGCACTGCATACCTACAAAACTCACTGCATTCCTGCTGACATGACTTCTCACACTGCACAGAAATCACGTGATTGAAGAAGTGTTTTGAGACGTCTCAAAACACTTCCTGCTGACATGACTTCTCACACTGCACAGAAATTACTGCTTGCTTCTGTGCATGTACACAGCCACACCCACACTCACTGCTGCCACCGCTGTCACAGCCAGCATTGAAACTGTGTACGCCCACATTGCATTGTCCCAACTTGATGCCGCCGCCCCTTCTTCCGAACCTGCACCAAAGGCTCGGGACCGAGCTGGAGAGGCAGGCCCGGTGGATTTCCGTGGCGTGGGAGGGCGAGGTGGGGCGGAAAGGTTGGTGCGACGAGAGCCGTTGATTTGAGATGGTGTGCGCTGTTGCTGTGACGTGCGAAGCGATCCTCGTTGCGACCCATGTTGCGACCCGTGTTGCGATCCGTGCATGGAGTGGGAGTCTGGGTCCTCATCATCGTGAAATTCAAGATGGAGCTTCAAACCCTGAAGAAGAGAAAGAAGGACGGGGGAGGGAGGGTGGGAGCGAATGAGGGCGGGGGGAGTGGTGAGCAGCAGTCTGGGCTGCATGGAATGTGTGTCTTGTCATGGAGTGATGCCCTCGTCATCGTTGGAATTCAAGGTAGAGTGGAAAGAAGCAACACAGGAGTGGGTAAGGACAGAGTTCAGGATACCTTGATTCCCGTGGCCTTGGCGAACTTGACAGCCGCATGCAGATCCTCATCGGTGGATATGACCACGATGAGGGGATGAGGATGCAATAGAACAAGGGGATACTGCGGTGCGGCATCCCGAGCACCAGCCTAGGAGAGGGAAAGACGAGAGTTGACAGTACCTTGATGCATGCCAGCCAGTAAGAAGAGAGTTCACTGTACCTTAATGCCAGTTTTGAGACGTACCTTAATGCCAGTGGCCTTGGCGAACTTGACAGCCGCATGCAGATCCTCATCGGTGGATATGACCACCATGTCATTGTCCTCATCCGCATACTGGCGCATGGGGGGATGCGGGGCATGGAGGGGAGGGGATGCATGGAGGTGAGGGGGATGAGTAAAATGGGTCAGACCGTGGGTTGCTGGTGTGACAGTCCTTCAACCAGAGGTGACCAAGGGTGACCAGGGGTGACCAGAGGTGACCAGGGGTGACCAGGGGTGACCAGGGGTGAACAGAAGTGACCAGGGGTGACCAGGGGTGACCAGAAGAGACCCGAGATAGATGATCGACTCATGAGGATGGAGGGCGGATTGTTGGGGTCGTAGTCCCCTCCAAGTCTAGACGCCACGGCACACACCAGCTCCGTCATGCTCTCACTGCCCACTGTGAACCGGTGCACGCGCCCCCTCCGGCCCTCCAGAGGGGCGTGTGTGCGACAATCCTTTACCATGGTAGACTGGTGGTTGCGGGCACGAGAGCTCTTGACCGCAAGGGATTGATGGACTCACCAGAATGGAGGGAGGGTTGTCGGGGTCGTAGTCACCCCCCAGCCTAGACGCCACGGCGCACACAAGCTCCGTCATGCTCTCACTGCCTGCTGTGAATCGGTGCACGCGTCCCCTCCGGTCCTCCAGCTTGAACGAAAACAGATCCTCGCCCAGGCCCCCCACCATCCCTATCCCTCCTCCTCCTCCGACTCCTCCCATGCCGGCTCCCATGCCTGCCCCGGCCCCAGCACCACCAGCACCAGCACCGGCTGCTGCTGCTCCGGCTCCTCCTGGTGCTGCTCCTGCTGAGGCACCGCCTCCTCGCCTTCTACTGCCTGAGGGGCGCACCTGGTCTGACATGTCACTGCTGCGCACACTGTGGAGGAGGGGGAGAGAGAGAGGGGGGAGGAGGAGAGAGGGGTGCGAAAAGAGAGGAGGGGAGGGGGAGTGAGGAGAGAGGGAGGGAGGGAGAAGGGGGAGCGAGAGTGGGGGAGGGTGAAGAAGAAGGGGGAAGACGAGGAGTTATAGGTCTCCACCTGGTCCGAAATGTCACTGCTGCGCACACTGGGAGAAAGGAGAAGTGCGAGGGGAAGACAGTTTAGGATCAAAATCACGGAAGGGAAAAGGCAGTGTCATTTCCTGCACTCTCAACTCCTCAACTCCCCCGCTTAACACCTTTTGCAATCCCACCTTTTGCACTCCCACCTTTTGCACTCCCACCTTTTGCACTCCCACCTTTTGCACTCCCACCTTTTGCACTCCCACCTTTTGCACTCCCACCTTTTGCACTCCCACCTTTTGCACTCCCACCTTTTGCACTCCCACCTTTTGCCTCAAAATACACCTCACTCCCCCGCTTAACACCTTTTGCACTCCCACCTCCCCCAAGCCCCACCTCCCCCAAGCCCCACCTCCCCCAAGCCCCATCTCACCCAAGTAAGTCCCAGCAGCCCCAAACCCCATCTGGCTGTATCTTCCTCGGTGTCAGCAAGCGGCAGGGCGAGGGCAGATTCCAACCTCGCCCAACTTTAACCTCCCCCAAGCCCCAACTTTCTCAAGCCCCCCTCCTACCTGGCGGTGTCTTCCTCGGTGTCAGCAGGCGGCAGGGCGAGGGCGGAATCCCAGAAGCGCTGCATGAGCTGCCCCATGGCATCACCACTCTCCGACCCCGACGCTGCCTGCGAGGGGAATGCCGCATGGGGTATGGGGCAGGGGGTGAGGTAAAGGCAGGTGGCAGGGCCAGGGCGGAGTCCCAAAAGCGCTGCATGAGCTGCCCCATGGCATCCCCACTCTCCGACCCCGATGCTTCCTGCGAGGCATGGGAAACAGCAATGGGGCGAGAGGTATGGAACAGAAGGGTTTGGGGCAAGAAGAATGCAGCGCGGCATGAGGCATGGGGCATGGGGCAAAGGGCTTGGGTGAGTGAGTGAGTGAGTGAGTGAGTGAGGTATGGAGCGAGAGGTATGGTGCAATAGGTATGGAGCAAGAGGTATGGAGCAAGAGGTATGGAGCAAGAGGTATGGAGAAGGAAGGCATTCCTGATGCAAGGTGAACACAAGTGGAAGGGGACTCACAGCAGCGGAGGACATGGCGCCTTGAGTGAGCTGCAGCACATCTACACATGCCACACAGTTGCCATCTGTGCCAGAGCCATCCATGGCGCCGCACCAAATGCAACCATGCCACCACGCCACATGCATGAAAACACGGCAAGGAGGGGGAAGAATGCAGAGGTTAAAGCAGTGAGAGTGGGTTGAGGAAGTGAAAACGGAGTGAAGCAGTCACATGGTGGATGGTGGGGAAGGATGCAGGGTGGGGCATGTGTGATGTTTTGAGTCGACTCAAAACAAGGATGGAGGGGGGGCGATGTGTGAATGGAGACAATCTATTAGCAACTGACCTGGGTCAGCAGAGTCAGACACTCACCTGGGTCGACAACGAGAAGGTGCAGGAATCTGCCATCGTGCATGGTGTGAAGGGAAGGGCGTCCAGCACAGGCGTGCTTACCTTGTGCCCCTCTGAGATAGCTAGTGGTGCTCTCTCAGCCTCGCACTCACTGGCCAGGCAGGTGTCTCAACAACCAGCCTTGAAAAGAGGAAAAGAGGAAAGCATCTCACCTGGGTCAACAACGGGGAGGTGCAGAAACCTGCCGTCGTGCATAGTGTGAAGGGCGTCCACTACTGGCGTGCTCAGCAGCACACACTCTGGATTCGGCGTCATCACCTGCAGTGCAGTGCGGTGGACACGGGTTCAGTAAGGTACGGAACGGTGCAGTGCCAGGCCACAAGAACATGGGAGCTGCTACTGGGGATGGAGATGTTGAACACACGCGGATTGTGGGTGTTACACCCCGCAATGGGATCTATAATCTTGGAAGCGGCTGTCATGCATGGTGATCCCCGCAACTGTGGGTGTTACACCCCGCAATGGGATCTATAATCTTGGAAGCGGCTGTCATGCATGGTGATCCCCGCAATTGTGGGTGGTACACCCCGCAACGGGATCTATAATCTTGGAAGCGGCTGTCATGCATGGTGATCCCCGCAACTGTGGGTGTTACACCCCGCAATGGGATCTATAAACTTGGAAGCGGCTGTCATGCATGGTGATCCCCGCAACTGTGGGTGTTACACCCCGCAACGGGATCTATAATCTTGGAAGCGGCTGTCATGCATGGTGATCCCCGCAATTGTGGGTGGTACACCCCGCAACGGGATCTATAATCTTGGAAGCGGCTGTCGTGCATGGTGATCCCCGCAATTGTGGGTGTTACACCCCGCAACGGGATCAGGGGATGCTTCAAGATGATTCTCTGAAGATGATAGATGCAAAAAAACAAGTCCAGCACAATGAAAAGCGTAACTTTGCAAGCCAAACTTATCCCTTCCTTCCCGCCGTCGCCCCTTCCCGTTCCCGTTCCCGTTCCCGTTCCCGTTCCCGTTCCCGCCAGGTGCTTGCCTTGTCAATGAGCGTGGTGTCTGGGTGCAGGTTAAGTGCGAGCACTCGCGTGAGAATGTCCTTGGACCTGGGGGGCGTGGGGGGAAAAGAGGCATGGGGGAGCGCATGGAAGGAGGCACGGAGGCGAGAGGCATACAAAACAAGGATGCAACTGATGTGCGAGTGCTCAAGTGCAATAATCCTCTCCGTATGAAATCCACGTGCATTGAGGTGGTTTTTGAGGCGCCTCAAAACCACCTCAATGCAGCTGATGTGCGAGTGCTCAAGTGCGAGCGCCCTTGGAGCTGATGTGCGTGAGGGTACGGGAGGTGTGTGGGGGTGAGAGAGAGGCGTGTGAGGAGGCGCATGGGCGAGGCGCATGGGCGAGGCGCATGGGCGAGGCGCATGGGCGAGGCGCATGGGCGAGGCGCATGGGCGAGGGGCATGGGCGAGGGGCATGGGCGAGGCGCATGGGCGAGGGGCATGGGCGAGGGGCATGGGCGAGGGGCATGGGCGAGGCGCATGGGCGAGGGGCATGGGCGAGGGGCATGGGCGAGGGGCATGGGCGAGGGGCATGGGCGAGGCGCATGGGCGAGGGGCATGGGCGAGGGGCATGGGCGAGGGGCATGGGCGAGGCGCATGGGCGAGGCGCATGGGCGAGGGGCATGGGCGAGGGGCATGGGCGAGGGGCATGGGCGAGGCGCATGGGCGAGGGGCATGGGCGAGGGGCATGGGCGAGGGGCATGGGCGAGGGGCATGGGCGAGGCGCATGGGCGAGGGGCATGGGCGAGGGGCATGGGCGAGGGGCATGGGCGAGGGGCATGGGCGAGGCGCATGGGCGAGGGGCATGGGCGAGGGGCATGGGCGAGGGGCATGGGCGAGGGGCATGGGCGAGGCGCATGGGCGAGGGGCATGGGCGAGGGGCATGGGCGAGGGGCATGGGCGAGGGGCATGGGCGAGGGGCATGGGCGAGGGACATAAGAGAGGGGCAAAAGAAACGTCCTCACAGCATCAGCTAGAAAAGGCAGCGGATCCGGAAGGACGCATGTGAGGATGCCGCAGGGGTGGTTGGTGACAATCACTGAGACAATCTTATAATCGACCCAGAACTCAGCAGTGAAGGCGAAAACTTCCCACAATGGCCAACAACGCCCCACAACGTCCCCCAAGGACGCACGTGAGGATGCCGCAGGGGCGGTTGGTGGCGCCGTTGGTGACAATCACTGAGCTCACTCGGCTCTCCCTCATCCTCCTTGCTGCTGTGCGTACTAGGTCCGTCTTCAGTACTGTAGCCAGCCTGCCAGGCATTGGGGGACAACGAGTGACAGGATGTGGGGCAGCGACGGACGGGCACAGCGAGCTCACTCGGCTTTCCCTCATCCTCCTCGCTGCTGTGCGCACTAGGTCCGACTTCAGCACCGTGGCTAGCCTGCCAGGCATGCATGGGACAGTGAGTGTGGTGAGGGGCGCAGTGATGGCATGTGCTGCACAGCCAGTGAGTCAGGGACACACTGAGCTCACGCGGCTCTCCCTCATCCTCCTCGCTGCTGTCCTCACCAGGTCCGTCTTCAGCACCGTGGCCAGCCTGCCAGGCAGGGATGTGACAATGAGTGAGGTGAGGAGTACAGTAATTGCATGTGCTGCACAGGCAATGAGTGAGGGGCAGAGTGAGCTCACTCGGCTCTCCCTCATCCTCCTCGCTGCTGTGCGCACCAGGTCCGTCTTCAGTACCTTGGCTAGCCTGCCAGGCATGGATGGAATGGGACAGTGAGTGGGTGCGTGAGCGAGTGACTGAGCGAGTGAGTGAGGGAGTGAGTGAGTGAGGGAGTGAGTGAGGGGCAAAGCGGCTTTGCCAAGCACAAGCCACTCACCTGGGTTATTCCCCAAGCACTGTTGCAAGTGTGGGCCGGATCACCTTGTCTTTCCAGTTGACCCAAGAGTCACCTCGGGTGAATGGCATCACAAGCGGGTGATCTGAGGTGAGGGCGCACCTGGTTTCTCCGCCAAGTACTGTTGCAAGTGCGGGCCGGAACACCTTGTCTTTTCAGTCGACTCACAAGTCACTTGTGACAACCAAAATCGTCAGCAGGCGGGTGGAGTGCGCGCACCTGGGTTCTTCCCCCAGCACAGGGGCAAGTGTGGGCTAGAACACCTTGTCTTTCCAGTTGACCCAAGACTCACCTCGTGGGAATGGCATCACCTCGTGGGAATGGCATCACAAGAGGGTGAGGTGTGAAGGGAAGGGCGCACCTGGGTTCTTCCCCTAGCACTGTCGCAAGTGCGGGCCGGAACACCTTGTTTTTTCAGTCGACTCACAAATCACTCTGTGGCAACAAAATCGTCAACAGGTGGGTGGCTGCACGCACCTGGGTTCTTCCCCCAGCACTGTCGCGAGTGTGGGCCGGAACACCTTGTCCCGAAACGTCTCCACGAAGCCCATGGCTGCTCGCAGGTGGGAGGAGGAGGGAAGGGGGAAGAGAGCAGAGAAAAAGCATGGATTGTGAGACAAGGAGCAGAAAGGGAAAGATGGCTTTTGAAACTTCTGAGAGGAGTTGACAAGAGATGAGTGTGGGGGAAGGGGGCGTGTGGCTTAGAAAGATACACTCACTCGATACGCCTTTTACATTTTCTATTTAGTCTACCACCCACTGGCGTTGCCCCCCACTGGCGCTCCACGCCCTCCATGGCAGCAGCGAGGGCATCCCCTCTCTCTGCTGCTCGCTCCATCTCACATGCACACACGCACACACTGCCCCCCACTGACTGTGTCACCCACCGGCGTTGCCCCCCCACTGCCTCTCCACGCCCTCCATGGCAGCAGCGAGGGCGTCGCCCCTCTCTGCAGCGCGCTCCATCTTGGCAATGGCGTCGTACAGACACCGCGTGATGTCCAGTAATGCCACCACCTCTCCCTCCTCTATCACAGGGAGGTGGCGGAACCTCCCTGTGTGGGGTGGCAATGGGACGGGTAAAGGCACATGAGGAGGAGCATGAATGCAGCGAGTGCGTCGCCCCTCTCAGCAGCGCGCTCCATCTTGGCAATGGCGTCGTACAGACACCGTGTGATGTCCAATAAAGCCACCACCTCGCCCTCCTCTATCACCGCCAGATGGCGAAACCTCCCTGTGGTGGGGTGGGGGGCGTGTGGGTGGCAAGGTAGAGACAGCAAAGGGACGTGAATGCGGATCACTGCAGTGGAAATCTTCGCAACACCGCGTGATGTCCAATAAAGCCACCACCTCTCCCACCGGCAGGTGGCAGAACCTCCCTGGGGGGGTGTGTCAATATAGAGGCATGTGAAGCGTGTGAAGGCATGAGCAGTCACATGGATATAGAGGGATTAGAGACGAGTCACCCCACTGCCAACAGAGGACATCTCAATCCCTGCACCAAACGTTACATCTCACCCTGCCTGTACCATGCGTTACATCTCATCTCACCCTGCACCATGCGTTGCAGTGCGTCCACAGCAGAGGAGTCAATAGTGACGAAGGTGGGGTTCTTGGTCATCACTGCTGACGCCAGCGTGCTGTTCACATCCAAGCCCTCGCCCACACACTTCAACGCCAAGTCCTGCAACCCAACAGCAGCACACCCACACACACACAAACACGGATCAGTGAGGGTGGGGGGGAGGGTGGTTCTTAGTCATCACTGCCGACGCCAGCGTGCTGTTCACGTCCAACCCCTCGCCCACACACTTCAGCGCCAAGTCCTGCAACGAGGGCAGAGGGAGCGGACGGAGATGAGAGTTTTGCAATAGCTTGACCACCACGAGGGCACTAAACAACAAAGACAAAATGCAGCAAGACATGGCGACTCACGTACTACTAGCCCCAAAAAAGCGAGTATCCCGGAGGGCACCAGGCTGACTGTCCTTGCAATAACACTGATCCGATCCGTCATGATGTCACACAAAGTGACAAACTTACCCGATCCGTCATGATGCCACAGAGCAGCGCGCTGGAGTCGGTGAGCAGGCACGCGTCCACGCGGCGGTTGGCCATTCGCCGACACGCGTCCGCCACGGTGGTGGAGTCGGGCAACGTTAGCGCCTTGGACAGCCGCAGGCGCCGCACTGATCGCTCACCCGCTGCTGTGCTGCAGTGGAGAGAGAGGGAGGAGTGAAAGGTAAGGTACGCTGTGAGGGAAAGGAGCGAGAGAGTGGAGAGGTGCAGTGGAGAACAAGGGAGTGAGCGAAAGTATCGAGTGCTGACAAGGCGAGGAAGTCTAACGCGACGATGAGCCAAGGCGATGATGATAAGCCAGATGAGCTTTAACCTTTGATCGGCAGTAAGCATGTATCAAACTTCGAGAGTTATATCTTCCCTTTGGGATTTACGCGCCCATTACCTGGATCGCCCCTGGGAATCGAAACGATCACCCATAATTCCGTCGGAATCACCTCATTTTCTATCTAACCAATCACCAAGCACCAATCACCTTGATCCGCCCTTGGAAGCGCCACTCCGCCGGCTGCCGGTGGACCGCTTGCTCGACTTCTTCGACGCATCGCGCGACCCGTCCCCCGCTCCGCCGCCCCGCGCCGCGTTCATGGCTCACGATCCGATACGAAACGACAGTACAGCCTCGCGCGGTCCGAGTAAACGCCTTAAAGACGACCCGAAAAAGGCCGAAGCTAAACCGTGAGGTTCGTCGCCGACCGATCTGAACTGACGCACGTCCGTTTGATTTTCTAATAAGAGCCGAGATGAAGAACCTATTTCTCCTAAGCTTCTGAGCACACGATGCAACTTCAAGGTACGTGCTTCGGACTCCCGAGGTGCGCAAAAAAATGCAAGTTTGGGTGTAAGTCCTTAGCTCCTCAGAGCTGCCGCATGAGCTCTCTGTCATACTCGTCGTGAAAATGCTCGATAACGATTTAGATATTCTGGTTATAGAACTATCAAACAGGTATACACCCAGCTATTTCGACAGGTAGTCAGCTGACATTTCCCTCAACAGATGTGTCGGTCGCGGCTCGCTCCTCGAGCATCCATTGAGTTCGGCGAAAGGTCCATCGGATTCGTCAACCGCGCAGACCGTTCGCAACTTGCATTCGCCGAGCCGCGATGAGGAACTACAAATTCGCTCGAATTCGCTGAGAACAATCACACTGCAAATCTCGCCCCATCCTCTGCTGGGCTGGATTCACCAAACCCATCATCCATCTGCAATTCCGTTTCCGCCAAGCTATTTCTCACACACACCGTAGCGTGTGAGTCACCTTCGAATCCGAATCTTCATATTCCACATACCGTACCTCTCTCCCATCGACATAAGGTTTCTCCCCTGTTCGCTGGTACTCACCATGGCTCGTGCTGCTATCCTTTTCGCCATCCTCTCGCTCCTCGCCGTCGCTGCCACGGCGTGCAATGTCCCGCCTGGCGGGTGCCACGTCACCAAGGTGTGCCAGAAGCTCGTCAATCTCGAGAAATACAACATCACGGAGCAGAATTTCCGCAAGTACTCGCTGATTGGCTACTTCAAGGGCATGTTCAACAGCCAGGGCGGCAAGGTGAAACCCCAGAAGCCCGGATCCGGCCCCCTGAACCTCGAGATCTTCCAGGAGGTGGGAAATTTTGTCGAGGTGGTAACCAGCACCAAGGGCAACACCCTCGCCAAGTGCTGCGCGGCGTGTGCGAAATCCCTGGACTGTTACGAGTACCACTTTTTCGTGAGCCCTCGCATGGAGGACAACACGAACGTGAAGAACTTCCGCGACGGCGTGCAGTGCTACCTGCTGCAGAAAAACGCGGGCTCGGGCGTCTCAGGCGGGCTCTCGCACCCGTACGCGGGCGACCGGAAGGAGCAGGCGGCCATGGCGCCGTATTTCCCGCTGAGCTGGGTGGGCGGGCTGTGCAACGGCAAGGCGACGGTGGAGAACGACCCGCATCTGACGGGCGCGCACGGGACGCATTTCGACTTCACTGGGCGGTTGAACAAGGCGTTCTGCCTGCTGTCAGACGAGCGCGTGCATATCAACATGCTGCTGGATGGCTACCAGGGCACTCCTCCTGCCGTGACTGCTGGCGCTGTGGCTGCTGCTTCTGCTGCTGCTGCTGCTGCTGCACCTAGCACTGGCCTGCACACCTGGATCAAGTATGGCGTCCCTGGTTGTTCTGTCTGGCTGTCTCTGGTGTTCCTGCTTCTTCAACTTCCCTGTGGTTTTTTTTTTATGCTCACAGGCTTGTTTGCTTTACTCATTTGCTCTGTGGTTTTCCATGTCCTATTTTCACTCTCCCCCCATGCTCCTCCCTCCGTGTTGTGTGGCAACAGGGAGGTGGGAGTGGTGTGGGTGTCAGGTGGTGGCAAGCAGCACTCGCTGCGCATGGTGGCGCGTACAGGCAACCAGCAGGACAGGGGAAGCAATGGCTTCCTCGCCCTCATGCAGGTGGACGGTGCTGATGTGGCACCACCACGCCTCATGGAGGAGGCGGTGGAGGCGGAGGGGGGGGTGGTGGTGAGCAAGGTGGCGGAGGGGCGGGAGGGGCCGTTTGATGTGGACCGCTACACGGTGTCCCTGGAGGGGGTGGGTGAGCTGGACGTGCGCATGAGGGTGGCTCACCCGCTGCTGCAGACCCCAGAGGAGGCGGAGGCGCATTTCAACATCGCCCTGACTGATATCGTGGTGAGTGTATGTTATTGAGCAACATCGGGCTGGACATGTGCATGAGGGTGGCGCAACCCCTGCTGCATACACCTTACTCTAGAACCACCTTTCAACCTTGCGCCTCACTGCCTGATTCTCCCCATTGCCTCAACTCTGCATCCCCCCTTCCACGCCACTCCTCTCCATCCCTCTGCCTGGCCCCCTTCCCGCAGAGCACCCGTGCGGTGCACGGGGTGTTGGGGCAGACCTTCCGTGACACGCCCGAGCAGCAGAGCAGGGCGCTGCGGTACACACACCTGTCAGCACTGCTGCACCACCCCATAGCGGCCGACCAGGAGGAGGGGCGCGGCTTCCTGGACGGCAGCGTTGAGGACTATGTGTCGTCCGGCATCACTGCTCCCGACTGCCGCTTCTCCGCCTTTGCTGGCCGCCAGGGGGCTGCTGCTGTCGCCGCTGCTTCTGGTGCTGCTGGTGTTGCTGGTGCTGGGGCTGGTGGGGCTGGGGCTGTTGTGGTTGTTGGTGCTGGTGCTGTTGCTGTTGGTGCTGGTGCGGATGGGGAGGATGCTACAGAGGATGTGCTGGCAAGCGTGGTGTAGAGAGAGGGCAGTTGAAAAGAGCGGTCAGAAGCAGTGGGAAGAAGTGAAGTGAACTGACAAAGAGAGCAAGATGGCGTGGGATGGAGCAAAGGAACGATGAAACCGTGGAGCAACAGAGGAGGATGTGACTACAACGAAGGAGCTGCAGCTGGAAGGAGGGGGGGTGCTTGCAGCAGGAAGTGACTATACCGAAGGAAGGAGAGACAGCGACCTGCTGAAAGGGCTGCAAGCACCACCAAATAAGGCAGCCAAGAAGATCAGTCGGTGTCAGTGTGTTACAGTTACAGCAGCAGCAGTAGGATGCATGGTAGATTGTTAGGAGTGCCTGCTGTGCGCAGCAGGTAGCTCGGCTCAACCCTGTATATAGGAAGGAACACCACGGCATGACCCTCTATGTATGCACCTCGTTTCACTATTTATATGAATCATTACAACTTGCCTCCCCAAACAACCGAATATGGCTTCCAACTTTTCTGGCTTCCGAATCTACCTCCACCACTCACAACACAGCTTTCCGGCCTCTGGAAAAGCGGAGGCTGCGCCTGGGGCCTGCTTCCGCCCCTGCTGGCTCTGCTTCTCCGTCCTCTTCTTTCTTTCCACCCCCTCCACCCTCTGTGCTCGGGGCATCACCACACTCGCCATGCTTACCATGCTTGAAACGGTCCCACGAATCAGAGGGGGGGACCGCGGGTGGGGCAGAAACGGCAAGGACAAGCGAGCTTTCAGGCAGATCAAGACATGGTGGATCAGCAGTGGGTGCAGTGCTGCTGGGGGCATGCTGTGCGGAAGTTTCTGGTGTGGACGTGTCAAGGCACGGTGGATCAGCAGCAGGTGCAGAGTTGGGGGCATCAACGGGTGTCGACGTGTCCGGTGCGGTTGTGCTTGGAAGGAGAGGGAGGGAAGGAGGAGGACGAGGACGGGGGGCTGGGAGGCGGGGGAGGGAGGCAGAGGGGCAGAGCGAGAGGGACGCGAGGAGGCAGGAGGAGCAGCGGGGGCCGATGGGCAGGCAGGTGGTTTGGCCGAAGCCCACTAGGAGCGGGTTGATGCCCATCCACTCGTCCTTGGGTAAAAGCTCCTCTAGAATGTGACGCGTGTCCTCTGGTGTTTTGGCCTGGTGGTGTAGGGATTGGGGTAAGAAGGATGCACATGAGGGCAGTGGAGGCAACAGGCCGCAAGCAAGCCCACAAGGAGGGGGTTGATGCCCACTCGTTCTTTGGCAGCAGCTGCTCTAGTGCCCGCCGCTTGTCCTCTGGTGTCTTGACCTGGGGTAGTTGATGGAGGGGGGAGGCATGGGGGCAGAAGGGGGACATGGGCAAATGAGCGAGATGGGCGGCTGGGCGGATGGGTGATGGGCGGATGGGTGATGGGATGGGAGGGATGCATTGCATGGCCTTGGCATCCGTCCATCCCAGGCGCCCTGCTATCCTGTGCACATGGGTGTCCACACAGATGCCCTCTATCCCACACAAGTACGGTACGGGCACACGGGCTCATGGGCACACGGGCTCATGAGCACACGGGCACTTCACATGCACACCTTGGCGTCCGTCCATCCCAGGCGCCGTGCTATACGGTGCACATGGGTGTCCACACAGATACCCTCCACGCGCTCCCACGCCACGTTCATCACCTGCTCACATGCAGCAGGGTATGGTGGGTGGTTGGATGCATAGGTGGCAGGCACACATTACACTTTATGGATGATCGGTTGCATGAGTGTGTGTCAGTGTCGACACAGTGATGGGACGATCAGAGAATGGTTGTGTGAGAACATAGTGCTGTATCAACTTCCATTCTCACTTCAGCTCCTCTCCCCTCCCCTCGTCCCTCTCTCACCTCCCAAAGCTCCTCTCTCTCGCCCTCTCTTTTCCCCAACCTCCTCCATCTCTCCACTCCCCGCCCGCACGCACCAAGTAGGCCATCTTAGGCCCGACGCCGGGCAGCGCAAGCAAATCTTTCAGGCTGCCCGGAATTTCTCCTCCGTGTTTCTCCAGGCAGATATTTGCCATTTTCTTCAGGTACCCCGCCTTGCGCACGTAAAAGCCCACCTTCAGGACGGGTGGGGAGGGATGGGGAGGGGTGCGGAAGGGTGGAAAGGGTGGAAAGGGTGGAAAGGGGTTGAGAGGGATGGTGAAGGGTGGAAGCTCAGTCAATTGGAGAAGGAAGGCAATGAGAGAGAAGGGATGGGTAAAGAACAAGCGGGTGTGCAAGGGAAGGAGAGAGATGGAGAGAGAGGAGGCGAGGGAGAGGGGGTGGTTGAGGGAATGGAGAGGGGGTGGTTTCACCAAGACATACTGGGTAGATGGTTTGACTGATAGTCGTTTCCTCTGCTGCCTTAAGCGCGTCAGGCGACAACAGCCCTGCTGCATGCAGCGTGCCACTGCGCCTGGAGGTGGTTGGAGAACAAAGGGGAGGAGGGTAGCGCGGGTTTGGGGGAAGGATGAACCAGGAATGGTTGGGAGGCGGATGAAGGCGAGAGAGGGGCGGGGAATGGCAAAGGGACGTTTGGATTGGGACGGAAGAGGAGGAAATTGGGAGGGGTGGTGAAGAAAACACCGGGTGAGGGACATGCTACGACGATGGTGAATACAACGGGAAATTGGGAGGGGTGGTGAAGAAAACACCGGGTGAGGGACATGCTACGACGATGGTGAATACAACAGTGGGGAGGGGGGGAACAAGGTGTGAGACATAAGGGGAGAGAGAGAGAGAGAGAGAAAGAGAGAGAGAGAGAGAGAGAGAGAGAGAGAGAGAGAGAGAGAGAGAGAGAGTGAGTGATGACTCAAAAGTCACCATGTAAGTAGAACACTTCCTTTTGAGTCGACTCAAAAGTCACCATGTAAGTAGAACACTTCCTTTTGAGTCGACTCAAAAGTCACCATGTAAGTAGAACACTTCCTTTTGAGTCGACTCAAAAGTCACCATGTAAGTAGAACACTTCCTTTTGAGTCGACTCAAAAGTCACCATGTAAGTAGAACACTTCCTCTTGAGTCGACTCAAAAGTCACCATGTAAGTAGAACACTTCCTCTTGAGTCGACTCAAAAGTCACCATGTAAGTAGAACACTTCCTTTTGAGTCGACTCAAAAGTCACCATGTAAGTAGAACACTTCCTCTTGAGTCGACTCAAAAGTCACCATGTAAGTAGAACACTTCCTCTTGAGTCAACTCAAAAGTCACCATGTAAGTAGAACACTTCCTCTTGAGTCGACTCAAAAGTCGCCATGTAAGTAGAACACTTCCTTTTGAGTCGACTCAAAAGTCGCCATGTAAGTAGAACACTTCCTCTTGAGTCGACTGAAAAGTCGCCATGTAAGTAGAACACTTCCTCTTGAGTCGACTGAAAAGTCGCCATGTAAGTAGAACACTTCCTTTTGAGTCGACTCAAAAGTCGCCATGTAAGTAGAACACTTCCTCTTGAGTCGACTGAAAAGTCGCCATGTAAGTAGAACACTTCCTTTTGAGTCGACTGGAAAGTCGCCATGTAAGTAGAACACTTCCTTTTGAGTCGACTCGAAAGTCGCCATGTAAGTAGAACACTTCCTTTTGAGTCGACTGAAAAGTCGCCATGTAAGTAGAACACTTCCTCTTGAGTCGACTCGAAAGTCGCCATGTAAGTAGAACACTTCCTTTTGAGTCGACTGGAAAGTCGCCATGTAAGTAGAACACTTCCTTTTGAGTCGACTGAAAAGTCGCCATGTAAGTAGAACACTTCCTTTTGAGTCGACTCAAAAGTCGCCATGTAAGTAGAACACTTCCTTTTGAGTCGACTCAAAAGTCGCCATGTAAGTAGAACACTTCCTTTTGAGTCGACTCAAAAGTCGCCATGTAAGTAGAACACTTCCTTTTGAGTCGACTCAAAAGTCGCCATGTAAGTAGAACACTTCCTTTTGAGTCGACTCAAAAGTCGCCATGTAAGTAGAACACTTCCTTTTGAGTCGACTCAAAAGTCGCCATGTAAGTAGAACACTTCCTTTTGAGTCGACTCAAAAGTCGCCATGTAAGTAGAACACTTCCTCTTGAGTCGACTCAAAAGTCGCCATGTAAGTAGAACACTTCCTTTTGAGTCGACTCAAAAGTCGCCATGTAAGTAGAACACTTCCTTTTGAGTCGACTCAAAAGTCGCCATGTAAGTAGAACACTTCCTTTTGAGTCGACTCAAAAGTCGCCATGTAAGTAGAACACTTCCTCTTGAGTCGACTCAAAAGTCGCCATGTAAGTAGAACACTTCCTTTTGAGTCGACTCAAAAGTCGCCATGTAAGTAGAACACTTCCTTTTGAGTCGACTCAAAAGTCGCCATGTAAGTAGAACACTTCCTTTTGAGTCGACTCAAAAGTCGCCATGTAAGTAGAACACTTCCTCTTGAGTCGACTCAAAAGTCGCCATGTAAGTAGAACACTTCCTTTTGAGTCGACTCAAAAGTCGCCATGTAAGTAGAACACTTCCTTTTGAGTCGACTCAAAAGTCGCCATGTAAGTAGAACACTTCCTTTTGAGTCGACTCAAAAGTCTCCATGTAAGTAGAACACTTCCTCTTGAGTCGACTCAAAAGTCGCCATGTAAGTAGAACACTTCCTTTTGAGTCGACTCAAAAGTCGCCATGTAAGTAGAACACTTCCTTTTGAGTCGACTCAAAAGTCGCCATGTAAGTAGAACACTTCCTTTTGAGTCGACTCAAAAGTCGCCATGTAAGTAGAACACTTCCTTTTGAGTCGACTCAAAAGTCGCCATGTAAGTAGAACACTTCCTTTTGAGTCGACTCAAAAGTCTCCATGTAAGTAGAACACTTCCTCTTGAGTCGACTCAAAAGTCGCCATGTAAGTAGAACACTTCCTTTTGAGTCGACTCAAAAGTCGCCATGTAAGTAGAACACTTCCTTTTGAGTCGACTCAAAAGTCGCCATGTAAGTAGAACACTTCCTTTTGAGTCGACTCAAAAGTCGCCATGTAAGTAGAACACTTCCTTTTGAGTCGACTCAAAAGTCTCCATGTAAGTAGAACACTTCCTCTTGAGTCGACTCAAAAGTCGCCATGTAAGTAGAACACTTCCTTTTGAGTCGACTCAAAAGTCGCCATGTAAGTAGAACACTTCCTTTTGAGTCGACTCAAAAGTCGCCATGTAAGTAGAACACTTCCTTTTGAGTCGACTCAAAAGTCGCCATGTAAGTAGAACACTTCCTTTTGAGTCGACTCAAAAGTCGCCATGTAAGTAGAACACTTCCTTTTGAGTCGACTCAAAAGTCGCCATGTAAGTAGAACACTTCCTTTTGAGTCGACTCAAAAGTCGCCATGTAAGTAGAACACTTCCTTTTGAGTCGACTCAAAAGTCGCCATGTAAGTAGAACACTTCCTTTTGAGTCGACTCAAAAGTCGCCATGTAAGTAGAACACTTCCTTTTGAGTCGACTCAAAAGTCGCCATGTAAGTAGAACACTTCCTTTTGAGTCGACTCAAAAGTCGCCATGTAAGTAGAACACTTCCTTTTGAGTCGACTCAAAAGTCGCCATGTAAGTAGAACACTTCCTTTTGAGTCGACTCAAAAGTCGCCATGTAAGTAGAACACTTCCTTTTGAGTCGACTCAAAAGTCGCCATGTAAGTAGAACACTTCCTTTTGAGTCGACTCAAAAGTCTCCATGTAAGTAGAACACTTCCTCTTGAGTCGACTCAAAAGTCGCCATGTAAGTAGAACACTTCCTTTTGAGTCGACTCAAAAGTCGCCATGTAAGTAGAACACTTCCTTTTGAGTCGACTCAAAAGTCGCCATGTAAGTAGAACACTTCCTTTTGAGTCGACTCAAAAGTCGCCATGTAAGTAGAACACTTCCTTTTGAGTCGACTCAAAAGTCGCCATGTAAGTAGAACACTTCCTCTTGAGTCGACTCAAAAGTCGCCATGTAAGTAGAACACTTCCTCTTGAGTCGACTCAAAAGTCGCCATGTAAGTAGAACACTTCCTTTTGAGTCGACTCAAAAGTCGCCATGTAAGTAGAACACTTCCTCTTGAGTCGACTCAAAAGTCGCCATGTAAGTAGAACACTTCCTCTTGAGTCGACTCAAAAGTCGCCATGTAAGTAGAACACTTCCTCTTGAGTCGACTCAAAAGTCGCCATGTAAGTAGAACACTTCCTCTTGAGTCGACTCAAAAGTCGCCATGTAAGTAGAACACTTCCTCTTGAGTCGACTCAAAAGTCGCCATGTAAGTAGAACACTTCCTCTTGAGTCGACTCAAAAGTCGCCATGTAAGTAGAACACTTCCTCTTGAGTCGACTCAAAAGTCGCCATGTAAGTAGAACACTTCCTCTTGAGTCGACTCAAAAGTCGCCATGTAAGTAGAACACTTCCTTTTGAGTCGACTCAAAAGTCGCCATGTAAGTAGAACACTTCCTTTTGAGTCGACTCAAAAGTCGCCATGTAAGTAGAACACTTCCTTTTGAGTCGACTCAAAAGTCGCCATGTAAGTAGAACACTTCCTTTTGAGTCGACTCAAAAGTCGCCATGTAAGTAGAACACTTCCTTTTGAGTCGACTCAAAAGTCGCCATGTAAGTAGAACACTTCCTTTTGAGTCGACTCAAAAGTCGCCATGTAAGTAGAACACTTCCTTTTGAGTCGACTCAAAAGTCGCCATGTAAGTAGAACACTTCCTTTTGAGTCGACTCAAAAGTCGCCATGTAAGTAGAACACTTCCTTTTGAGTCGACTCAAAAGTCGCCATGTAAGTAGAACACTTCCTTTTGAGTCGACTCAAAAGTCGCCATGTAAGTAGAACACTTCCTTTTGAGTCGACTCAAAAGTCGCCATGTAAGTAGAACACTTCCTTTTGAGTCGACTCAAAAGTCGCCATGTAAGTAGAACACTTCCTTTTGAGTCGACTCAAAAGTCGCCATGTAAGTAGAACACTTCCTTTTGAGTCGACTCAAAAGTCGCCATGTAAGTAGAACACTTCCTTTTGAGTCGACTCAAAAGTCGCCATGTAAGTAGAACACTTCCTTTTGAGTCGACTCAAAAGTCGCCATGTAAGTAGAACACTTCCTTTTGAGTCGACTCAAAAGTCGCCATGTAAGTAGAACACTTCCTTTTGAGTCGACTCAAAAGTCGCCATGTAGGTAGAACACTTCCTTTTGAGTCGACTCAAAAGTCGCCATGTAGGTAGAACACTTCCTTTTGAGTCGACTCAAAAGTCGCCATGTAGGTAGAACACTTCCTTTTGAGTCGACTCAAAAGTCGCCATGTAAGTAGAACACTTCCTTTTGAGTCGACTCAAAAGTCGCCATGTAAGTAGAACACTTCCTTTTGAGTCGACTCAAAAGTCGCCATGTAAGTAGAACACTTCCTCTTGAGTCGACTCAAAAGTCGCCATGTAAGTAGAACACTTCCTCTTGAGTCGACTCAAAAGTCGCCATGTAAGTAGAACACTTCCTCTTGAGTCGACTCAAAAGTCGCCATGTAAGTAGAACACTTCCTCTTGAGTCGACTCAAAAGTCGCCATGTAAGTAGAACACTTCCTCTTGAGTCGACTCAAAAGTCGCCATGTAAGTAGAACACTTCCTTTTGAGTCGACTCAAAAGTCGCCATG